TCAGATTTGCTATCTTGATGAGATTCTTGTTTTTGTTTAATTTCTTTCTGTGTTTCTTTAATGTAAGATGTTTTGCTGTTAACACAACTATTTTATAGTCAGTGTCACATAGACCATTAGGGATTGCTCTTGAATCAAGGATTCTCCTTCTTCCTTGAACTCTGGTAAGTATAAAGTCATTCTGGCTCTTGATGGAGACATCATTCCATTTGTACCAAGTGTAAAGTTGTGAATCTCTATGGTCAAAGAATGTGTTCGTAATAAAAAGATTGTGCTGGCTGCATAGATCCAATATTCTTTGACCATTTCCATTTCTATCACTGTTCTTAGCTGCATGTGGACCTAAAAACTGTTCGTATTCTCTTCTGTTATTTCCTACCCTCCCGTTGAAGTCACCCATTACATATAGTATGCTGCTTTCCTCAACTTTCTCTATCTCATCAGACAGATCGTCAAAGAATTCATCTTTCTGCTCTTCTGTATAATTACCATTGCATGGTGCATATATCTGTATATATGTTTCAGCTTGTTCTCCTCTTTTAATTTTCAAAGTAATAATTCTATCTGAGTGATAATGTATGTCTAATATGTAGTTAGATATGTCCAGATGCACTAGGAAACCCACTCCATTCTTCGATGTTCCTCCTCCTGCATATGTTAGTAAGTAGCCTCTGTGTATTTTCTTGTTACTATTTCCCTTGCGTCTTATGTCAGCTAGCCCCATTAACTTGATTTTCCTTTTTTCCATCATTTCAATAATCTCTTCTGTTTTATTTCCCAGGCCAGCGGTGTTAAGTGTTGCAATCTTGTATTTCGCTGTTCTGTCTCGTAGTCCCTTAACATTGCCATGGCAGATACCGTTTGATCAGTCCGTTTATATCTCACTGTGTTTTCTGTAGCGATAATAAATCCATTGCTGGCTTGCTAGGCCTGTCGCAACTTCACCAGAGCCCAGTTGGCCAGGACGTTTCGGGGTAACCCAGGGTGGCCTTCATGGCTACCGTAGCGGTCCTGTGGCACGAGGCCATACCATACTTCGCCCACACCTAGCAATCCCCTACTTTGTCCTGTTACCACCTCTCACGACGAGGAACTTGACTGTTTTGATGTCAAAAGTTTTAACCTAACTGTCTAGATATGAACACTGTCTAACATGACTGTCTAGATATGTCAAGGTATGTGGATGCTGTTCAATATTCCTTTGGCAATCTGTATCCTCTTTATTTGTATTCCTACCTTACAATTACAATTGTTTATGATTATCTGTTCTGGGGAAGAAAAAACCACTGATTGCTTTGAATGTCTTTCCTTCACTGTAATTTTCTAGTTACTTAGTCGACAGATTATCCTCATTGCACACCAAACCATTCAGTCCATAAGTGCTCGGATCCCCTCCTCAGTCAATCCTGCAGCAGCTGATGAGACCAGTCCTGTGCTGGTTACTTCTTCTTCTTTGGCTTCCTGCTTGTCTTCCAGTCTGGTCAGAGTTGCAGATTCACAGTTATCACGTGGTTCTCGCAAACATCTCACTTCTCACAGAGCATTCAGTAAATCAGTCTGGTCCATGGCATGTCCGCCCACAACAGTAGCTTTACTTGCCAGTCTATCAGCATTCATATATGAAATTTTGTAAAGTAGCTTGGTACTGTCTTTGAGAATATAACAATCTTCAAGTACAAGGATTTGATTTCCACGGTGAACAGTTTATATAAAAAAAACTGCTCTCCTGGTTTTCGGACTGTGGTACGAGAGTCTCACTGTGGAAGAGACTGGGGCCTCACAACATAATGTCCCAAAGGCATCAGTGGGTACACTAGCCTACATTCACTGTGGAGACATCATATAATTGAAAACTGTATCTGTTGAAATTCTTAATCACTAGTCAGACTGCAAATACATCTATTAGTGTGAACAGCTTTCTTTGTAAGTTATAAATGTTTACAAAATAATTTATTTCTCTCTTAGTGTGAACAGCTTTCTTTGAAATGGATTACAAATGTTTACAAAATTACTCATTTCTCTCTTAGTGGGAACAGCTTTCTTTGAAATGGATTACAAATGTTTACAAAATTACTCATTTCTCTCTTAGTGGGAACAGCTTTATCAGCAACGGGTTATACAGTTGAGTCTGGATAAGTAGAAGTCACAGGGACCTAAGAAAATGCTTCCACTTATCAGGATTTCTACACATCTAGACAGCACACACAATAGAGAAAATTGCTGGGACCAAGCTGGTCATGTTGGCTCAGCCGAAATTTGACTTATCCAAGTTCGACTTAAGTGGATTCGACTGTAAATGTTTACAAAATAACTTATTTCTCAAAGTTTAATTTTAACTTCAAGAATAAAAAATATTCTTACTAACGCTCTGCTATCAATATCAAACATGGACACTGTCTTAAGAAGACAGAAGGAAAACAGTCACAACTGAAATGAAATGTGAACGTACTATGCAAGGTGTAACGAGGAAAGATCGACTTAGCAACGATGATATCAGGAGGAGAACTGGCACAGAACCAATACTGAACTTTATAGGTAGACAACAAATCAAATTGTTTGGCCATGAAACAAGATTGGCAGCAGAGACAGGGCAACACAGAGAGCAGTGTTATACAGATACAGTGGAAACAGACCCAGAGGTCGACCACGCAGAATATGGACCGCAGAAATATCAGAGATACTGAAAAGTACTACATATGAAGGAAACAGAAGGGCCTGTTCTAGAGATCTCTTCCACTGCTGATGCCACAAGGTATTCCAGGAGTAGAGAAAAGATGAAGAATAATAATAAAACTAAGACCACACATAAAATACAATAATTACAATAAGGACAATTGAAGTCGACAGTAATATTTAATAATGGAATTATAAAAAGTAAAATAAGTATTAAAAGCATATGTGCCAAAGAACAGTTAAAACAATAACTCACCGCACATTATGGACAATGTAATAGCAGGTTACTCACTCTCTCCCTCCCTCTCCCACCTCCAACACTCCCTCTCTCACACACTCTCTCTCTATCTCTCTCTGACATTATCTACCACACACTTATCTCTCAGTACAGACACCAAAAAATGCAAATGGCGAAATTATCATCATCATGAGTAGGTCATCTACAGAACATGAGTTCCCAGCCGTCAAAAAGAATCTCAGTTGCTTGCCAACCGCCCCCCCCCATCCCCCCCCCCCATCTCCCATACAGTTTTAAGCAAAGTGTCTCTAAAGTCATCGTCATGTTCATCCAGAAACCAGAACTGTCATGACTAATCAATCTAAAACACTGTGGTTTTCAATGGCCAAGGTTTTAGTTCCTGAGAAATGGTGATGTTTATGAGCCACTTGTGACCCACGTTCAGATCTGGTAAAAATGTCAGCATTTGTATTTCCCTGTGTGGGCTCCAGGACTTCATTGTAAGAGGAAAACGAACAGACTCATGGTACCCCCCCCCCCCCCCCCCCCCGCCAACAACAAGCATGTAGTAAGACTTGACTAAATAGGGATGTTTCTTTTAAAGTCTGAGTGAATCTGCCTGTAAGGCAAAGAACCAAGAATCTGCATACCAAGAAGCCAGATCTGTAAAATAGATGTGCATGCAAAACTCAAGTACTGACTCAAGACTAAACTCCAGAAGTGGACGAACAACCAGAACTTTCTGCCGGGGTTCACAGCCGGTGAACATGGAGAAAAATTAGAATCAGCATTTGCATTCTTTTCAATGGCATTCTAATAATTTAACTAACATTTAAATTTTATAAATGTTGATTATTTTCTTTATTCATCATTTTCTTCACTCTCTGCTTCTTCTCACAAAATTTCAAGTCTTATAAAAAGAAGAGGAAATAGCACACTTCAATGTCATACTCCTGAATTCACTTCAAAAGGTGTTGATAAACATAACTGTTCATTCACAGCTTTTTTTTGGACGCCACAAACTTTAGCAAGATAGATTTTTGTCAACTTCAGAGGTCCCTGGTAGTTAGCATAAATTTGATATTTTCTCCAGGGTATGCCGGTGTGTTGGGAAATGAGCAGGCAGACAGACTAGCGAGCTCTGCATAACTTGGTGCTGAATGGATGTTTGACTTCTAGATATTGTGAGGGCCTTTGGGAGCGAGTGATCAGTGAGGAGGCACAGAAAGATCATCATGGACTGAGGAGAACAGTGCTGCGAGGCATTATCTGGGATCTGGCCAACACTCAAGGGAAAGGCGAGACATCTACACAATCAGACAGTTACTGGTACTGTCGGAACTGGAACTCAGCGCTTGCTGCTGAAGATAGGGATGGAGCGCTTATGGGAGTGTCCCGAGTGCTGTGATGTCAATTCTTAATTCAACAATTTTGTCAAAAGCATTTTCCTGGTCTATAAAACTGATTAAAATATGAGCCTACCTTTGATGTGCTCATGGAGTGAAAAATGTCATTTACCAACTGGCATCTTCTGTCTTTATCTTTTTTTCTTGACTCCCTCTTTTACTGCTTTGGGTGTTGAGGGAGATATAAGGTTCCGATTCTTGCTCTTCTGGCAGCCACCACCACAGACATATCATGCTGGTGTAGCTTCTCTGATGTTATCTTTCCATCTTGTTCTTGGTCTACCTTGTGCTCTGATACTTCTCTTCTGTTGGTGTATGCATGGGATGGTATGACATCACAAGACATTCTCTTTACGGGGCAAACTATTTGATCTGCTGTCTTTGAATATACTGGAGAATTTGTTCAGTGCTTTTATCTCTTATGAATTCATTTCCGATGTTATTTCCTCTGGTTACTCCTGCAGCTTTCCCATAAATCTTATTTCCATGGTAACTAATTTGGTATCTTCTGTGAAACTGTATCATTTACACATTCTACAACAGTTACTCAACATTCAATTGATGTGGATTGTTTAAAAAATTTGAAGAAAAAAAAAAGAAAACAAAAAACCACACCATAAACCAGCACTTGAAATGATGATAAAACAAACCAAACATTTGACAAGATAGAAATGCACAAGTTATCATAAACTATTAACAGCATCAACCCAGGGGATGGCCCAAAATAGCAGCCAGATGGGGAAGATCACCGCTGTGATGATAGTCTCTGTCCAGGCATTGAACAGGTAGGAGTCCATGACACCCAGAAAGATGAGCTCCTTACAGTTGGTGTAGCCTTGGAGCAGGAGGTCGAAGGTCGAAGGCTGAGGCCAGGCTGAGATCAGGCCCACCAAGAACATGAGGGACAGAGGAGAAACAAAGACGAGAGCTAGCATCTGGATCCAGCGGAAGATTCTGGGGAAAAAAAACAATGGCATGGTGAAGACACAAAGAGTCACAGTCAATTGGTTAATTAACTCACTTTCCTCTTCTCCTGCTTTACAGCTGCCAATGGAGCATAGGCCCTGGACCAACTCAAACCAAGTCTTATGTAGACTTGTTCATGTCTGGTTTGGCTTTGTATTAGTTTGTGACAACTCAGGGAAGCTAGTGTCATGCCAACCCTCTTAGGCTATTTTTTTTTTTACAATATGCATGATTAGTTACAGTGTTATTACTACTTGCTGCACTTAATGGGTTCTGGTTGGTTCACCTGTCTTTCCAGACTTTAACATTCTATTGTGTTACAGCAGAAGTTCTCAACCGGTGGGTCCCCACCCTTTTCTGGGTTGAACAACCATTTTACAAGGGTCACCAAAGACCATCAGGAAACACATATTCAGTGAGGTTATTATTAACAAAAATAATTGTATGGTTTGGAGTCACCACAACATGAGGGACTGTATTAAAGAGTCACCACAACATGAGGGACTGTATTAAAGAGTCACCACAACATGAGGGACTGTATTAAAGAGTCAGCACAACATGAGGGACTGTATTAAAGAGTTGCCGCACTAGGAAGGTTGAGAGCCACTGTGTTATAGGGAAGCACAGGACCTGCAGGAATGGCAAAGACGACTGTGACCAATGCAGGTTAAGAAGAAACTTCAACCATAATTCCAAGACAAATTAGGATCAGAGATGAAGTGCCTGCTCCCCATAGCATTAACCCTGGGCAGTATTGTAAAGAGCATGTGTTACCCATTAAGAACACCTCTTCCCCGTGTAGAGAGCATGTGTTACCCATTAAGGACACCTCTTCCCCGTGTAGAGAGCATGTGTTACCCATTCAGAATACCCCTTCGCTGTGTAGAGAGCATGTGTTGCCCATTCAGAATACCCCTTCCCTGTGTAGAGAGCATGTGTTGCCCATTCAGAATGGCTCCCATATTGGCCTGCTTTGTTCAATCCAAAGTAAAGCAGGATCCAGCAACATTTTGGTATTATTAACACACTTTGTTCAATATATTTAAATCTCTTTTGTCCCTGGTAGCCATTAGTTAACATCAACAGATGCAGCATTCATTAAAACATTCAAACTGAAGAAGAGGGAAATGGGGGGGGGGGGGGGGTAGAAGGCCCATGAGAAGCCAGTGTACAAGTGGGAAGATCACATGAGGGGATGGTTGAACAGCCTGTCAAGAGTGTACAACCAGGCAAGAGACAGGGTCTGATCATAGCTGACCTTTGGAAGGGAGACAGTACTTGCCTGAATCACTGGATAAACCCACTGTGTCCTGGTTATCTCAACAAATTATGGGGCTGAATCACTGGATAAACCCACTGTTGTCCTGGTTATCTCAACAAATTATGGGGCTGAATCACTGGATAAACCCACTGTGTCCTGGTTATCTCAACAAATTATGGGGCTGAGTTACTAGTTAAACCAATGTGTCCTGGTTATCTCAATAAATCCTTCTATAGCAAACAATCATCACCTGAACAACACCTGGCTAGTGGGATAGTTGCTACTTAAAGTGACACTAGCCTGGACAGGGTTCAGGTTAAAATACAGCCTTCAACTAAGTTAAGCTGGTTTTATATTTCATGGAAAACCCAGGTTTGAATCTCGGTAAGGGATGCACATAAAAAAATTTTTTAGTGTCGGGGGGCAAAAATAAAAATCTTAACTTGCACAGTTTATGGCAACTGCACTAGCCACGTGGCCTTAAATCCTCAGGTTCATGACCTGAGCTCTCTAAAAAGTGACAAATACTGCAGTAAAGACTGTCACTGTTCAAATACGCGCCTGTCTTTATTTGCATGCTCCTCTCTTCACCCGTTTATGTAATCTCCCAAAATTGCTGTCTTTATTTTTTAACCTCTCTTTTTTCTTCTTCTCATTCACCAGCTGTAAACTCTGGCGGAAAGTTCTGGTGGTTCATCCACTTCTGGACTGCAGTCCTGTTCCAGAACCTGAGTGTACATCCGTTTTACAGATCTGACTCATCTGTATGCAGACTGCTGGTTCCTTGCATTAAAGGCAGATGCACTCCGACTTTGAAGGAAGCTCCCAGTTATCTGACTCTTATGACACCCTTTTGGGTAGGCAGTGGGTCTGTTCTTGTTTTCCCTATAATAGGGCCCCAGAACCCACACAGGGAAACCTCTCTTTCCATCTACATGTTTCTATCCATTTACCCAACATTCTCCACCTGCATCTTCTCAGTGTTTATCTGTTGACCTCTCTTTCCATCTACATGTTTCTATCCATTTACCTACCCCCCCCCCCCCCCCCCCCTCCTCCATCTGCATTTTCTCAGCCTCTCTCCCACTAAATATGCAAATGTGTGAATTCTTAACATTCACCAGCAGTAAACCCTGGCAGAAATTTATGGTTGTTCGTCCACTTCTGGACTCTGATGATCCTGTTCCAGATCTTGAGTTTTGTGCACACATTGATTTCACAGATCTGGCTTTTGTGTGTGTATGCAGACTGTTAGTTCCTTGCCTATCTGGCAGAGGCACTCTCTCCCAAAATGGGGCCCTGGAATGCATATGGTAATGTGTTTGTCTGAATGTGTGTGTACCTGCCTGTCTGTGCTTCAAGTCACAGTGAATGATATCCTATCTATAAAGGTACACATTAAGACAAACATACTTTTGCTGAGATGGCCTGACTAATGTTGTCACAGGGACCATGAATGCAGTCAAGAAGAATGCCTGGGAGATGTTGAGAAGGGAGATAGTTGTCAACGCCAGGGTCTGTCCAATCAGAGCTATCGACTTCAGCAGCTGCCAGTCTATAACAAATGTGCTAGGGCTGCCGGATTTCCTGTAAAGTTAAACCAAAATAGATAAATATTTGATTAAATGAAATCAAAGTCAATCAAAGCTACCGACTTCATCAACTGCCAGACTAAAACACATGTAATTAAGGCTGGCTGATTTCCTGCAAAGGTGAACCAAAATAGATATATATTTGATTAACTGACATCATTAATAAGCTGATGGGGAAAAACAATTCAAATTTAAATACTTGTTTAACATGGCCATTACTTCTTCTTCAGAGTTCGCCCTCAACAGGGCAGTTTACAGCCAGACTGTCTTCTTTTTCTCTGTTCACCAGCTGTAAGCTCCCGCGGAAAGTCCTGGTTGTTCATCCATTTGGACTTTGGCTTTGTGCCAAGGCTTGAGTCATACGTTTCCATATATTTTACTGGCTTATTTGTGGGCAGCTGGTTGTTCCTTGCCGCTCCAGCAGATGCACTCCAACTTCAAAGGAAGTTCCTAATCAGTTGGCTCCTAGGACATGCTTGTTGGGGAGGCAGTGGGTCTAATATGGTTTTCCCCACAATGATGCCCTTGAACCCACACAGGAAACCATTAGACTGTGATATCTGGGCCTTTCAACCAGCATTATCATGATCAACAAGCGCCTATCAAACTGGCATGGGTGATCGCGCCTCTCCACTATCTGCGATCTTTTACAGCTTGTATCAGTTCCTGTGCCGACAATGCTAAATGCCACAACAAAAGGCTGTCAAAAGTCCTCTTATGATGTCTTTGACTCTGACTCCCCCCCCCCCCCCCCCCAACAGAACTTTCCAGTGGTCACAACATGTTTCAGCTTCCTTTGTCTCAAACATGACCACACAAAATTATGACTGTCTCTTTCTGATTTTTCTTTCTTCAAGCTCAAACTTTGAAAACATCTGGGCTGCTCTTTTAAGCTCTACAGATTTCTCTGTAAGACCACATCTCCAAGGTCTCAATGAATTGTTTGGCTTGTTGATTAATTGTTGAGGATTCACAGCCAAATTAAAGGCATGCTTTACTAGCACAAATACAGCAGAAGTCTACCCTTGCCTTCAGCCAGTTTGATATGGGGTGACTCCATTAGCCTTTGTCTAATCAGATGAACCTTACAAGGCAGTGGAAAAAAAGGGGGAGGGGGATAGGGGTTATAATGGCCATTTCACCAAGTTCTGAGGTATATTTCAGCCCAACAGTGGTTTCAGCAAAACACTAAGTAGTTGCCTTTGACTGCCTGCTTGTTGGAGGGCATTCCATTTGCCCCAAAATAGGGCCCCAGAACCCACACGAGGAGTTTTCGGTGTTCTACCATAATTACATCTATAGCATAAGATGGACTATGTCTTCTTGCAGGACATTTTTTGGGGCAACATTTGATAGATTATTAGGTCCGATTTACCTCCTCCCCCCCCCCCCCCCCCCACTCCCCCGGTACAGGGCTTGGCATCATCACCAACTTATTGTGATTACTGACGTTTCTCAAGAATTAATCTGCTTACAGAGCAAAGATAAGATGATGATTTTTAAGAATTTGTTTGTTAACACAGATAAGACAAAGAAAGTTATTCCTTTATCTCCTATGTGATCAACTTTTATCTTCTCCCAGAACCTGAGTTTTGCGTGTACATCCAACTAACAGATCTGGCTTATATGTATATAAATTATTGTTTCCTTGCCTCTCAGGCAGATGCATTTCAACTCTAAAGGAACAGTTTTTTAAGAATCATTTGTTCTCACAGCAACAACAACAACAAAAAAGTTGTTTATGTTTTTAAAGCATCCATTTGTTCTCCAAGCAAAAAAACAAGTACCCAAAAAAAATGTAATCATTTTCCACACTTACCTGGTCATTAACTTTGGGTATGCCAGTGCGGCTGTGAATATGGCAAACAAGCTGTAGATGATCATATCTTCGGTCTGGATACGGAAGCGAGGCACTATCCGGGTCAGCAACTCTGGTCCCTGATGGGCCATCCAACCCATCAACATGGACACAAGAAAAACCGGCAGGATGGTCAACACACCTTTGTTGGTCAGTGGCTCCTGGCAACAACGAATACTGAAAGTTAGGAAACCTGGCAAAACTTGATCTGAGTTTGGCATCTTTCTTTCTTTCTTTTTTTCTTAGTATTCAAAGGCTGTAAACCATGGCATAAAGTTCTGGTTGTTCGTACATTTCTGAACTCATGTCTTGTTCCAGAAGTTTAGTTTTCAAGCACATCCATTTCACAGATATGTCCTATCTGTATGCAGACTGTTGGTTCCTCACCTCTCAGGCTTATGCACTCTCTTCAAAAGGAAACTCCCCCCAAATAGTCACATTGTACAACATGCTCATTACCAGGGCAGCGATTCATGAAATGATTAGTGTTGCAAACCATTCTTGCCTGATAAAACCAGCTTGGATTTTTTAAAGCATATTCGAGTCACTAAGTATTCACGCATGTGTGAACTATTAAGTATCCAAGCCATGCTAAAGACCTTGTTACAGCCATAGTTTCCATTGTAAGGCTACTAGTTGTAACAGTAAAGGTGCCATTCATCTCCTTGATGGTTTCCCCCTTGATTCAACTGTGGATGCCCCTGCACTTCGCTTGCCCCGAATTACTGTCCACAATGCTCCCTACTGTGTGATGTGGACTGTAATGTTAAAGTTTGGAGCAGGAGGTATCCACTCAATTCCAAAATTAATGTCAGTAAGTCGGCAAACATGTTGGACGGTGTCCTCAGCACAACCCATCCAGGATTTGCATCATCTCAGTCTTTTCTGTTTAAACTTAAATAATTACTTATGAAGTGGGTTTCGAGGGTTTGATTTCACTTTGAAGAAACCAAAGGCCCTGGATAACTTCATTCTGTTTTCTGTTGTGGGGAAATGTATCGCATGGATTTACAAGAGGTGTCTCTAGCCCATCCAAGAACACTATGCATTGTCTCATTTTCATTTTTTTTTCAGTTTGTTCATCAGGGTGGTGCTCTCTGTGTAGCACAACACAGACTAAGTTTAACATGACCAAAACACCTCAGCTTTCAGGAGAGGATGCTGTTTATGAGCCAGTTATCTTTTATGCATATATCATGTAAATTTTGGTCACCTGACCAAGGCAATATATCCATAAAAGTTTGTTGCACTATTTGAAGTCACCCAAGTTTACCAATGTTATCTATTTATGTCTACATAACTTTTCTAGTAGCATACTATCAATTAATAATATATGAGGGTTAGGGCTTACTTTGAAATCTTCATCTTCTAAACTATCTTTACTTTCATCAACGGCTGTTTTCATTTCATCTTCGAAATTATCTTTACTTTCATCAACGGCTGTTTTCGCTTCATCTTTCAAACTATCTTTACTGTCATCAACAACTGTTTTCGTCGACTCCTCCAGCTTGCTTCTTTCCTTGTCCTCTTCTGAAATGGGATAATAAGTAAAGACAGTGAAGTTTATACTAGAGACAACACTACAGATATAGATAATCTATTTCAAGCGAACGAAAGAAGAAGAAGATATTTAGTAAAGATAGTGAAGCTCATACTAGAGACAACACTACAGATATAGATAATCTATTTCAAACGAACGAAAGAAGAAGAAGATATTTAGTAAAGATAGTGAAGCTCATACTAGAGACAACACTACAGATATAGATAATCTATTTCAAGCGAACGAAAGAAGAAGAAGATATTTAGTAAAGATAGTGAAGCTCATATTAGAGACAACACTACAGATATGGATAATCTATTTCAAGCGAAAGAAAGAAGAAGATGCTGTTAAGTAAAGACAGTGAAGTTTATACTAGAGACAACATTACAGATATGGATAATCTATTTCAAGCGAAAGAAAGAAGAAGATGCTGTTTAGTTACAGTGTCAATTATACCTGTACAGATATCATTATAGGTTTACAAATGGATAGAATGAGCAAGCTTTCATAGGTAGGTTTCAATGGGAGGTGCAAGGCAGAAGTTGAATAACCAGTACAATCCAGCAGAGATAGGAAAAGGCTAAACATGATTACATAAAGTTGAAAGTCAAGAGGATCAACTTTACTGCACTGGCTTTTTTTCATATGGCTCGGTCTCTCTCCACATAATGGCCAACCACCTGTCGAGAGCACTGCATAAAGCACAAACTCTGTAGCTCAGGTGACAATCCTCATGGATCTCAGTAAAAACACACAGGTGAACTGAATGATGCAGCCATGAAACCAATCCATGACCTTCAGAGTGCAAGGTCAGATGGCTTGACCACTTCCCACGGAGACGTCATCTAAGCATCACTACATGTGACTTGTATACCCTGCTATCTTCCCACGGAGACGTCATCTAAGCATCACTACATGTGACTTGTATACCCTGCTATCTTCCCACGAAGATGTCATCTAAGTATCACTACATGTGACTTGTATATCCTGCTATCTTCCCACGGAGATGTCATCTAAGCATCACTACATGTGACTTGTATACCCTGCTATCTTCCCACGGAGACTTCATCTAAGCATCACTACATGTGACTTGTATACCCTGCTATCTTCCCACGGAGACGTCATCTAAGCATCACTACATGTGACTTGTATACCCTGCTATCTTCCCACGGAGACGTCATCTAAGCATCACTACATGTGACTTGTATACCCTGCTATCTTCCCATGGAGACGTCATCTAAGCATCACTACATGTGACTTGTATACCCTGCTATCTTCCCACGGAGACTTCATCTAAGCATCACTACATGTGACTTGTATACCCTGCTATCTTCCCACGGAGACGTCATCTAAGCATCACTACATGTGACTTGTATACCCTGCTATCTTCCCACGGAGACGTCATCTAAGCATCACTACATGTGACTTTTATACCCTGCTATCTTCCCATGGAGACGTCATCTAAGCATCACTACATGTGACTTGTATACCCTGCTATCTTCCCACGGAGACGTCATCTAAGCATCACTACATGTTACTTGTATACCCTGCTATCAGTGCCAATTGTACACACTTACATCCTCCAATAAATGTAAAATTCAATGCCTTAGAAAAGCTGCAGGAGTTTCAAGGAAAGACAGAATACGAAATCAGACAAATGCTAGGAATAAAGCCAGTCTTACAGGTCATCAAAGAACAACAAATGAAGTGGTTTGGAACCTAACAAGAATGCCCTAGTACTATCTGCCACAGAGAGCCACACTAAAACTTTACAACAGGTATAGAGCGAGTGGAAGACCTAGGAAAACATGGAGTGATGGCATTAAGAACAGCCTTACAGAAATGAACATCAGTCTTAATAGTGCTCTTGACAGAGCTCATCAACGAATGTTACATCTCCCCCTGACGCTTTGCTGAGGCACAAGGTGGAAGAGAAGAAGAAGAAGAGTATAGGAGGAGATAGTGAATGAAGAAAACACCCTGTTTCCTGACTAGTACAACTAACTTCCCCGTGTGGGCTCTGGGGCACCAGTGTGAGGACAAACAAAAGTAGACCTGCTGCCCTCTACAAGCATGCTGTAAGAGTCAACCAATTAGGGATGTTTCTTTCAAAGGTAGAGTGCATCTTTCTATCTTTCTGAGAAGCAAGGAACCAACAATCTGCATACAAATAAGCCAGATCTGTAAAACAGATGTATCTGCAAAACTCAGGTTTTGGAACAAGGCTAAAGACCAGAAGTGGACGAAGACTGTTATAACTCAATATCTTTTCAAAAACTGTTCTTATATTGCACAACTAATGAATTTCTTAAAATGCTGCACATTTCATACCTTCAACATCCTTTTCTTTATCCTTGTCTGGGGACTCATCTGCTCCATCCTTCTTTGTATCCTCCTTCTTTTCAGCATTTGTCTGCATCTGTGAGACTTTCCACAGGGCAAGGCCGTGACAGGTCAAGGTAAAAACTAGAAGCTAAGTTTAAACTCCTTGCAAGCTTTAATTTATCAACATCCCTCTGTCTCACCTCTGAATACTTGGGTGCCGGGTTTAATTCCAGTTGCAGGCAATTCAAGAGCAGACCATGTTAGTTGGGTTTAACAGTGGTATCCAGAGCTGACCATTCAGAAGCAATGGCAAACTTCTTCTGTCTTTCTAGCCCCCAATGGAGCATATGCCCTCAACCAACTCACACCAAGTCGATCTATCCTTCGCTATCGCATGCAGCTATCCCCATGTCCTCCCGATCTTTTTAACTTCAATCTCTAGCCCCCTTCTTCATGTGTTTTGGTCTTCCTTTATTTCTATGCCCCTGTGGAAATGGCAAACTACCAAACATAAAATTACCTAGTGAAACTACAAACAGCAAAATATTTATGGGGTTGGTTCTGCAAGGTCCTGTTAAGGATATGCAACCAACTCTCTGTCAGTGTGTTTCTACCAGAAACTGTTAATCTGTCTACCACTGTCCTTCTGGAGGGGGGAGACTTCGTGGTAAAGTGGATAAGCTGTCTACCTCACAGTCTGGGTTAAACTCACAGACATGCTGTTCAGTTGAGAAGTGCAGGTTTTATAGTGATCCCTGGGGATTATCAATGGAGCTGCGGAGATCATGCTCTATGTGCAGCTTTCAACAGGCAGCTAGCTGGTGCAGCACAGCTGATCCTCTCAACTGTAGCTGTCTTTCTGTGTGTGCTGCAGCTTTCAACAGGCAGCTAGCTGGTGCAGCACAGCTGATCCTCTCAACTGTAGCTGTCTTTCTGTGTGTGCTGCAGCTTTCAACAGGCAGCTAGCTGGTGCAGCGAAGCTGATCCTCTCAACTGTAGCTGTCTTTCTGTGTGTGCTGCAGCTTTCAACAGGCAGCTAGCTGGTGCAGCACAGCTGATCCTCTCAACTGTAGCTGTCTTTCTGTGTGTGCTGCAGCTTTCAACAGGCAGCTAGCTGGTGCAGCGAAGCTGATCCTCTCAACTGTAGCTGTCTTTCTGTGTGTGCTGCAGCTTTCAACAGGCAGCTAGCTGGTGCAGCGAAGCTGATCCTCTCAACTGTAGCTGTCTTTCTGTGTGTGCTGCAGCTTTCAACAGGCAGCTAGCTGGTGCAGCGAAGCTGATCCTCTCAACTGTAGCTGTCTTTCTGTGTGTGCTGCAGCTTTCAACAGGCAGCTAGCTGGTGCAGCACAGCTGATCCTCTCAACTGTAGCTGTCTTTCTGTGTGTGCTGCAGCTTTCAACAGGCAGCTAGCTGGTGCAGCACAGCTGATCCTCTCAACTGTAGCTGTCTTTCTGTGTGTGCTGCAGCTTTCAACAGGCAGCTAGCTGGTGCAGCGAAGCTGATCCTCTCAACTGTAGCTGTCTTTCTGTGTGTGCTGCAGCTTTCAACAGGCAGCTAGCTGGTGCAGCACAGCTGATCCTCTCAACTGTAGCTGTCTTTCTGTGTGTGCTGCAGCTTTCAACAGGCAGCTAGCTGGTGCAGCACAGCTGATCCTCTCAACTGTAGCTGTCTTTCTGTGTGTGCTGCAGCTTTCAACAGGCAGCTAGCTGGTGCAGCACAGCTGATCCTCTCAACTGTAGCTGTCTTTCTGTGTGTGCTGCAGCTTTCAACAGGCAGCTAGCTGGTGCAGCACAGCTGATCCTCTCAACTGTAGCTGTCTTTCTGTGTGTGCTGCAGCTTTCAACAGGCAGCTAGCTGGTGCAGCACAGCTGATCCTCTCAACTGTAGCTGTCTTTCTGTGTGTGCTGCAGCTTTCAACAGGCAGCTAGCTGGTGCAGCACAGCTGATCCTCTCAACTGTAGCTGTCTTTCTGTGTGTGCTGCAGCTTTCAACAGGCAGCTAGCTGGTGCAGCACAGCTGATCCTCTCAACTGTAGCTGTCTTTCTGTGTGTGCTGCAGCTTTCAACAGGCAGCTAGCTGGTGCAGAACAGCTGATCCTCTCAACTGTAGCTGTCTTTCTGTGTGTGCTGCAGCTTTCAACAGGCAGCTAGCTGGTGCAGCACAGCTGATCCTCTCAACTGTAGCTGTCTTTCTGTGTGTGCTGCAGCTTTCAACAGGCAGCTAGCTGGTGCAGCACAGCTGATCCTCTCAACTGTAGCTGTCTTTCTGTGTGTGCTGCAGCTTTCAACAGGCAGCTAGCTGGTGCAGCACAGCTGATCCTCTCAACTGTAGCTGTCTTTCTGTGTGTGCTGCAGCTTTCAACAGGCAGCTAGCTGGTGCAGCACAGCTGATCCTCTCAACTGTAGCTGTCTTTCTGTGTGTGCTGCAGCTTTCAACAGGCAGCTAGCTGGTGCAGCACAGCTGATCCTCTCAACTGTAGCTGTCTTTCTGTGTGTGCTGCAGCTTTCAACAGGCAGCTAGCTGGTGCAGCACAGCTGATCCTCTCAACTGTAGCTGTCTTTCTGTGTGTGCTGCAGCTTTCAACAGGCAGCTAGCTGGTGCAGCACAGCTGATCCTCTCAACTGTAGCTGTCTTTCTGTGTGTGCTGCAGCTTTCAACAGGCAGCTAGCTGGTGCAGCACAGCTGATCCTCTCAACTGTAGCTGTCTTTCTGTGTGTGCTGCAGCTTTCAACAGGCAGCTAGCTGGTGCAGCACAGCTGATCCTCTCAACTGTAGCTGTCTTTCTGTGTGTGCTGCAGCTTTCAACAGGCAGCTAGCTGGTGCAGCACAGCTGACCCTCTCAACTGTAGCTGTCTTTCTGTGTGTGCTGCAGCTTTCAACAGGCAGCTAGCTGGTGCAGCACAGCTGATCCTCTCAACTGTAGCTGTCTTTCTGTGTGTGCTGCAGCTTTCAACAGGCAGCTAGCTGGTGCAGCACAGCTGATCCTCTCAACTGTAGCTGTCTTTCTGTGTGTGCTGCAGCTTTCAACAGGCAGCTAGCTGGTGCAGCACAGCTGATCCTCTCAACTGTAGCTGTCTTTCTGTGTGTGCTGCAGCTTTCAACAGGCAGCTAGCTGGTGCAGCACAGCTGATCCTCTCAACTGTAGCTGTCTTTCTGTTTGTGCTGCAGCTTTCAACAGGCAGCTAGCTGGTGCAGCACAGCTGACCCTCTCAACTGTAGCTGTCTTTCTGTGTGTGTGCTGCAGCTTTCAACAGGCAGCTAGCTGGTGCAGCACAGCTGATCCTCTCAACTGTAGCTGTCTTTCTGTGTGTGCTGCAGCTTTCAACAGGCAGCTAGCTGGTGCAGCACAGCTGATCCTCTCAACTGTAGCTGTCTTTCTGTGTGTGCTGCAGCTTTCAACAGGCAGCTAGCTGGTGCAGCACAGCTGATCCTCTCAACTGTAGCTGTCTTTCTGTGTGTGCTGCAGCTTTCAACAGGCAGCTAGCTGGTGCAGCACAGCTGATCCTCTCAACTGTAGCTGTCTTTCTGTGTGTGCTGCAGCTTTCAACAGGCAGCTAGCTGGTGCAGCACAGCTGATCCTCTCAACTGTAGCTGTCTTTCTGTGTGTGCTGCAGCTTTCAACAGGCAGCTAGCTGGTGCAGCACAGCTGATCCTCTCAACTGTAGCTGTCTTTCTGTGTGTGCTGCAGCTTTCAACAGGCAGCTAGCTGGTGCAGCACAGCTGATCCTCTCAACTGTAGCTGTCTTTCTGTGTGTGCTGCAGCTTTCAACAGGCAGCTAGCTGGTGCAGCACAGCTGATCCTCTCAACTGTAGCTGTCTTTCTGTGTGTGCTGCAGCTTTCAACAGGCAGCTAGCTGGTGCAGCACAGCTGATCCTCTCAACTGTAGCTGTCTTTCTGTGTGTGCTGCAGCTTTCAACAGGCAGCTAGCTGGTGCAGCACAGCTGATCCTCTCAACTGTAGCTGTCTTTCTGTGTGTGCTGCAGCCACTCTCTCTCCCTCTGTGTGTGTGTGTGTGTGTGGGTGTGTTGTAGCCACTCTCTCTATCTCTGTGTGTGTGTGTGGGTGTGTGTGTGTGCGCGCTAACTATCAATATCAGCATGTGTGGTCTGCCAAATGTGTGTATTACTGCTATCTGTCACAGCTGTTATATGCTAATATATGTGTGTAAGGAGGTAATGGCAGTTTCAGCGACACACCAAAATGGTCACGGTCACAGCTGTTATATGCTAATATATGTGTGTAAGGAGGTAATGGCAGTTTCAGCGACACACCAAAATAGTCAGGTCACAGCTGTTATATGCTAATATATGTGTGTAAGGAGGTAACGGCAGTTTCAGCGACACACCAAAATGGTCACGGTCACAGCTGTTATATGCTAATATATGTGTGTAAGGAGGTAATGGCAGTTTCAGCGACACACCAAAATGGTCACGGTCACAGCTGTTATATGCTAATATATGTGTGTAAGGAGGTAATGGCAGTTTCAGCGACACACCAAAATGGTCACGGTTACAGCTGTTATATGCTAATATATGTGTGTAAGGAGGTAATGGCAGTTTCAGCGACACACCAAAATGGTCACGGTCACAGCTGTTATATGCTAATATATGTGTGTAAGGAGGTAATGGCAGTTTCAGCGACACACCAAAATGGTCACGGTCACAGCTGTTATATGCTAATATATGTGTGTAAGGAGGTAATGGCAGTTTCAGCGACACACCAAAATGGTCACGGTCACAGCTGTTATATGCTAATATATGTGTGTAAGGAGGTAATGGCAGTTTTAGCGACAGACCAAAATGGTCACGGTCACAGCTGTTATATGCTAATATATGTGTGTAAGGAGGTAATGGCAGTTTCAGCAACACACCAAAATGGTCACGGTCACAGCTGTTATATGCTAATATATGTGTGTAAGGAGGTAATGGCAGTTTCAGCGACACACCAAAATAGTCACGGTCACAGCTGTTATATGCTAATATATGTGTGTAAGGAGGTAATGGCAGTTTCAGCGACACACCAAAATGGTCACGGTCACAGCTGTTATATGCTAATATATGTGTGTAAGGAGATAATGGCAGTTTCAGCGACACACCAAAATGGTCACGGTCACAGCTGTTATATGCTAATATATGTGTGTAAGGAGGTATTGGCAGTTTCAGCGACACACCAAAATGGTCACGGTCACAGCTGTTATATGCTAATATATGTGTGTAAGGAGGTAATGGCAGTTTCAGCGACACACCAAAATGGTCAGGTCACAGCTGTTATATGCTAATATATGTGTGTAAGGAGGTAATGGCAGTTTCAGCGACACACCAAAATGGTCAGGTCACAGCTGTTATATGCTAATATATGTGTGTAAGGAGGTAATGGCAGTTTCAGCGACACACCAAAATGGTCAGGTCACAGCTGTTATATGCTAATATATGTGTGTAAGGAGGTAATGGCAGTTTCAGCGACACACCAAAATGGTCAGGTCACAGCTGTTATATGCTAATATATGTGTGTAAGGAGGTAATGGCAGTTTTAGCGACAGACCAAAATGGTCACGGTCACAGCTGTTATATGCTAATATATGTGTGTAAGGAGGTAATGGCAGTTTCAGCGACACACCAAAATGGTCACGGTCACAGCTGTTATATGCTAATATATGTGTGTAAGGAGGTAATGGCAGTTTCAGCGACACACCAAAATAGTCACGGTCACAGCTGTTATATGCTAATATATGTGTGTAAGGAGGTAATGGCAGTTTCAGCGACACACCAAAATGGTCACGGTCACAGCTGTTATATGCTAATATATGTGTGTAAGGAGGTAATGGCAGTTTCAGCGACACACCAAAATGGTCACGGTCACAGCTGTTATATGCTAATATATGTGTGTAAGGAGGTATTGGCAGTTTCAGCGACACACCAAAATGGTCACGGTCACAGCTGTTATATGCTAATATATGTGTGTAAGGAGGTAATGGCAGTTTCAGCAACACACCAAAATGGTCACGGTCACAGCTGTTATATGCTAATATATGTGTGTAAGGAGGTAATGGCAGTTTCAGCGACACACCAAAATGGTCACGGTCACAGCTGTTATATGCTAATATATGTGTGTAAGGAGGTAATGGCAGTTTCAGCGACACACCAAAATGGTCACGGTCACAGCTGCTTTCTTCCTGTGCCACACCAAATGACCATCATCACTCTCCTTTGTGGAAACACTGATACAGAGCTGTCAGGTTGGCTGGATCCGCTATCACTACCGACGGTCAGCCTATGGATCATGCTGATATTATTAATGCCCTCAGAGAAATGGGAAGGATAGAGGACACACCACTCGACTTGGGAATTAAGATCGGCATAGCAAAAAACGAGACGCACACCAGACACGCCAGAAGACTTGTTAATCAACATAGAACTGGTACTATTAGCCATCGGAGGTTGGGGTTCATACTGAGAGAAGGATCTGAGCACCTGTGGACATGTCTGGAATGCAATGATGATAACCCTACTAATTAACTAACTGATAAAGACTGCAGTAGCAAATTCAACAGCATATACAGTTCATCATCGATCAAAGCAGCAGTCACGACAGACCAGCATTTGCACACGCAATTAATCAAGTAAGGCACCAGAAGTTGTGTGGCAACAGGTACTCCCAACGTATGGATCGACAGTACACAACACAAACCACAGCCTGTTTTGTGTGTTATCACTGCATGTACACCTGTGAAAGCTATCTGCAACTGTGTGTGTGTGTGTGTTGTGTGTGTGTGTACATGTACACCTGTGAAAGCAATCGGCCACTCTGTGTGTGTGTGCATGCATGTGTGTGTGTGTGCATGAGAGAGAGAGAGAGAGAGAGAGAGAAAGAGAGAGAGAGATCACTGCATGTACACCTGTGAAAACTATCTACCACTGTGTGTGAGTGTATGTAGTTCTAACAATTTTGTGGTTGGTAATTACGTTCTGACAATAGATACACTCTATATTTCATCATCATCATCATCAAGTGTTATGCTGACCGGCATGCTTTGTGATCACCCATGGCAATATCAATTCTCGTGCTGACATCGTCATGTGTCCTGACAAAAGGCCTGCCAAGAAATACTGAACCTGAATATCAAAACCAACAAAGGATATTTTGATGAGCCCTGCTAGTGCCATCAGACCAAACGGAGGCATATACATGCCAATCGACACGTAACGATTTGTGGAAGGCAGGAGGTAGAAGAAAAACGACTGATGAAATCGTTCCAGCAGATTGTTTAGACTTCTCAAAACACCCTCCATGATCCTGAAACAACAAGCAGTGCACAGTAGACAACATGGACCATTTCATTCAAATATGGTCAAAATTAATGATTATAGTGTAATGAATATATAACGAAAGAGGGTGCTAAAATGTTTCATAGAACCTGTTCTGCTGTACGGCAGCGAATCTTGGAATGTCAGTGAAGAAATTAGGAAGAATTTGGAAGCAACAGAGATGTGGTTTCTGAGACGAATGTTACGAATACCTTGGATGGCCAGAGTAACTAACAACAATTGCTTGAAAGAAGCTAATGCAAGTAGATCTCTATATACAACAATAAAAAAGAAAGAAACACTGTTCTTTGGCCAGATATTGAGTAGAGAGACACTGGAGAACATCGTGACAACTGGAAAGATCAGTGGAAAAAGAGGTAGAGGCACACCAAGAGAGAAGATGCTGGATGGGCTGAAACGATGGCATGGAGGGATATCATCAAGAGAGCTGCTCCAGGCAACCAGGGATCGTGGTCTGTGGAGACGCATGAGCGCCTACGCCAGTTGGCAGGGCATATGATGATGATGAATATATATCAAATAAGGTTTCTCCAAACAGCATCAAAATGTTTAGAGAATTAAGGAAAGAGTAATCAGGGGAGGGCATGGAAGGAGTTGCAAGAGTCTGCAAACATTAGGACAGCTGAATATGAGCTCGCCTCCCCGTGTGGGTTCCACTGTCCCATGATGCAGGAAACAATAACAGACCTACTGCCCCTCTAACACGTATGTTGTAAAAGGCAAAGTGCATCTGCCTGAGAAGCGAGGAACCAACAATCTGCATTCAAATAAGCCAGGTGGGTAAAATGGTTATGCATGCAAAACTTAAGTACTGGAACAAGATGAAATTCCAGAAGTGGGCGAACAACCAGAAGTATCGGCAAGAGTTTACAGCTGGTAAACATTAAAAAGAAGAAGATATGTAAGCTCTATCTGCTGGCTGCTTTTGTAATTTATGGGTAGAAAAGGGATTCATTTGTCGATTCTTAAAACTGAAGGCAGATGATGGGAAGGCAAACAATGGGTGGACTCACCTGGCTGCGGTAGTGATGTCAAGACTGAAGGCAGACAACAGAAAGGCAAACAGTGGGTGGACTCACCCGGCTGCGGTAGTGATGTCAAGACTGAAGGCAGACGACAGAAAGGCAAACAGTGGGTGGACTCACCTGGCTGCGGTAGTGATGTCATGACTGCCTTTTTTCTTGGCCACGCCTTGAAGAGTCACAGACTCAATGTGGAACTTCTGAAACAATCCATGGTTACCAGACGGGGCTCCACTTGCCTGGTACCACATCATTTTCAGCATAGTCTTCAGCGATGATTTATAGTTGTCAAACGAGTCACCTCCATAGGATAATCTTTTGTCCTGAAGTTTAATTTTTGTTTTTTAATTACATTATTATTATTCTTTACTTTTTACATGTAAAAGTAAAGATCCTTTTTTACACCTTAGGAGCATTGGGCATATGGGATGAGCACCCATATTTTTACAGACCATCAGCACTAGGTGGGTAATGTGGTCAAAATTATGCCGGCCGTCTTTACTTCATCAGGAAATCCATCCTGGTACCCATTTTAGGCTGGGTCCACCTGCGACTACTTTTGTCATGTATCCTCCAATAAAATAAGTTGGAAAACCACCAAGGATATGGAACCAGAATTAAACACATTTGAAAACAAATGCTGAGGGAAACTGATAAACGTTAAGTGGGATTAACTCAAGAAAGGCAAAGAAAGAAGAGAAATGTCCGGACAACAGGCTGTATCACCATTTATAAGACAAATATGATGGCAATATACTGGGCCCATCATGAGGAGGAATAGAAAGAGAATTCCCAAACAAGCACTGAAATAGGAAACAAACAGATTGAAGACACCCTGAGACGAATTTTACTAAGAGATGCCAAAGATACTGGACTGGATTCCATGATATCGAGAGGACTGCACAGGATAGAAAGGAATGGAGTAGACTGGGAGCCCTATGTGACTATGACAGGATGATGAAAGAACAAGCCCTCAGATCAAAGCCACCTATCCTCTGCCACCTCCTGTGACTACTGTCATGCCCACCCCCTCCCAACCTACCCCCAAACCAAACATTTAATACATGTGTCTAATCATCTTTTCCCTTCCTTTTGGAGACATGACAGTGAAGTGATTGTGTATATTCTTGTTCAAAACTGGTGATAATGTGGATTTATGACATGTGCTGATGAAGGCTCTCTAGCTGCAATATTCACCTGTCCCGACCGGCAATGAAGTCATCTACCGTCAAGCCAATGGCCGACCCAGTCACCACTGTGATGGATTTTTTTGCAAATAAAAAAAAAAACAGAAAGCTCATCATACTCACAAAGGAATGATGTATAGCAACACGAGCTCCTTCTTTCTGACACAGTCGAACTAAGAGGTTGACCAGGTCCAAGTTGGGCAGCTGACCATTCAGCCCTTCAAGTTTGAGATTAAAGTAATTGATATTGTCCAATGGTAGCTCAAGGTTGATAGCCGCCTGGATGGCGCCACTTCTTCCTTCCAAGCCATTGGTCAGGATGTCTGTGAAAAATGCCTCAACATTACCAAATTAGCGAACCTGAATCGTCTACATTATTTATACAGGGGATGATGATATACATTCCCTTCCCCCTAACCCCTAATTCCCACACCATGAGTTATGATGCAAACTGAGCCTGATGTGAAATATCTTCTTCTGCTTAATGTCTCTCCTGAGGAATGCATCACTTCTGAATCATTGAAATTGTTTTTTTTTTTAAGATCCATTTTTTTTACTTCAGGCGCATCGGGCATATGGGGAGAGCACCCATATTTTTATAGACCATTCGGCACTAGGTGGGTAATGTGGTCAGCATTACGCCAGCCGTCTTAATTCCCCATAATCCTGATACCACATCCAGGGTAGCCCTGAATAGAATATGATATACGTTGGACAGTCTGACATCATGGCATGGAAGATCTTCTGTGACAGATCTGATATATGTTGGACAGTCTGACATCATGGCATGGAAGATCTTCTGTGACAGATCTGATACATTGGACGGTCTGACATCATAGCATGGAAGATCTTATGTGACAGATCTGATATATGCTGGACAGTCTGACATCATGGCATGGATGATCTTCTGTGACAGATCTGATATATGTTGGACAGTCTGACATCATGGCATGGAAGATCTTCTGTGTCAGATCTGATACATTGGACAGTCTGACATCATGGCATGGAAGATCTTCTGTGACAGATCTGATACATTGGACAGTCTGACATCATGGCATGGAAGATCTTCTGTGACAGATCTGATATTGTTGGACAGTCTGACATCATAGCATGGAAGATCTTCTGTGACAGATCTGATTTATGTTGGACAGTCTGACATCATGGCATGGAAGATCTTCTGTGTCAGATCTATGTTGGACAGTCTGACATCATGGCATGGAAGATCTTCTGTGACAGATCTGATATTGTTGGACAGTCTGACATCATAGCATGGAAGATCTTCTGTGTCAGATCTGATATATGTTGGACAGTCTGACATCATGGCATGGAAGATCTTCTGTGACAGATCTGATATGTTGGACAGTCTGACATCATGGCATGGAAGATCTTCTGTGACAGATCTGATATTGTTGGACAGTCTGACATTGTGGCATGGAAGATCTTCTGTGACAGATCTGATATATGCTGCACAGTCTGACATCATAGCATGGAAGATCTTCTGTGTCAGATCTGATATATGTTGGACAGTCTGACATCATGGCATGGAAGATCTTCTGTGACAGATCTGATATATGCTGCACAGTCTGACATCATAGCATGGAAGATCTTCTGTGTCAGATCTGATATATGTTGGACAGTCTGACATCATGGCATGGAAGATCTTATGTGACAGATCTGATATATGTTGGACAGTCTGACATCATGGCATGGAAGATCTTCTGTGTCAGATCTGATATTGGTGGACAGTCTGACATCATGGCATGGAAGATCTTCTGTGACAGATCTGATACATTGGACAGTCTGACATCATGGCATGGAAGATCTTCTGTGTCAGATCTGATATTGGTGGACAGTCTGACATCATGGCATGGAAGATCTTCTGTGACAGATCTGATACATTGGACAGTCTGACATCATGGCATGGAAGATCTTCTGTGACAGATCTGATATTGGTGGACAGTCTGACATCATGGCATGGAAGATCTTCTGTGACAGATCTGATACATTGGACAGTCTGACATCATGGCATGGAAGATCTTCTGTGTCAGATCTGATATTGGTGGACAGTCTGACATCATGGCATGGAAGATCTTCTGTGACAGATCTGATACATTGGACAGTCTGACATCATGGCATGGAAGATCTTCTGTGTCAGATCTGATATTGGTGGACAGTCTGACATCATGGCATGGAAGATCTTCTGTGACAGATCTGATACATTGGACAGTCTGACATCATGGCATGGAAGATCTTCTGTGACAGATCTGATATTGGTGGACAGTCTGACATCATAGCATGGAAGATCTTCTGTGACAGATCTGATTTATGTTGGACAGTCTGACATCATAGCATGGAAGATCTTCTGTGTCAGATCTGAAATTGGTGGACAGTCTGACATCATGGCATGGAAGATCTTCTGTGTCAGATCTGATATTGGTGGACAGTCTGACATCATGGCATGGAAGATCTTCTGTGACAGATCTGATACATTGGACAGTCTGACATCATGGCATGGAAGATCTTCTGTGACAGATCTGATACATTGGACAGTCTGACATCATGGCATGGAAGATCTTCTGTGACAGATCTGATATTGTTGGACAGTCTGACATCATAGCATGGAAGATCTTCTGTGACAGATCTGATTTATGTTGGACAGTCTGACATCATGGCATGGAAGATCTTCTGTGTCAGATCTATGTTGGACAGTCTGACATCATGGCATGGAAGATCTTCTGTGTCAGATCTGATATATTGTTGGAAAGTCTGACATCATGGCATGGAAGATCTTCTGTGTCAGATCTGATATATTGTTGGAAAGTCTGACATCATGGCATGGAAGATCTTCTGTGACAGATGGACTACAGCATGGACTACAAGAAAAAGACAGTAGAAGGTGTAAAGGCATAGGAACAAGAAGAAGAAGAAGTGGAGAAGAAGAATGTTACCTACACTGAGATGCAGTTTCATGGTAAGCATCCAACCAAGCCATGGCTCCTATCTCATCAAAGTCTGAGAAGAGAAAGATGATGTCCTTGCTCCAGTATGGTTTCTCTGAGTTGACAACAATACAAAATATTGATATTTCACAAAACAGCAATGACAAAATGCCACACAAAAATTAAAGACAATTTCAAACTATATGTTTGAAAAATTACTTGTCTTAAATTTGGAAAACATCTAACTCAATGTGGATCTGAACCTTAGACCTTTAAACCAGCAGACGAGGATTAAGTTATTATGTTAACACGGCTCCCAAACACAAATGTATACCCATACATGACTGCGTGTACACAGGGTCAAGCCATTATGCTGGCCACGGCCCCAAACAAAAGTATATGCCAATGCATGACTACATATATACAGAGCCAGATTCCACCTTTCAAGAGATGCTGTCCCTGTGTGGATTCCAGGGCCCCATTTTGGCAGGACAAGAATAGACCCACTGCCTCCCTAACAAGCATGTCTTACAAGGCAACTAATTAGGGGAGTTACGTTCCAAGTCCAGAGTGCATCTGCCTGAGAGGCAAGGAACCACAGTTTGCAGACAAATAAGCCAGATTTGTCAAATGGATTCACACACAAACATCAAGTTCTTGAACACGACCAAAGTCCAAAAGTAGCTGAACAACCAGAACTTTCTGCCAGAGTTTACAGCCGGCGAACACTAAGAAGAAAAAGAAGAGAAAGAAAAAGAAGCAGCTGAAGAAGAAAAAGAAGAAGAAGAAAAAGAAGAGAAAGAAAAAGAAGCAGCTGAAGAAGAAAAAGAAGAAGAAGAAAAAGAAGAAGGTATCACTTTAACATCACAGAAATTAAGTTTGGTTTAAAAAGGATCAATTTTATATCACATAATCGTTTAAGCATTGTTCGTAAAGGGTCACTTGTATATATTGTCATAAGCGCATCAGTCTCCTTTCAGAAACTACACAGGGAGAATATCAACACATCTGACGACTTTATGGCACTGGTGAAAATCCCATTATGTGTCATTTGTATACTGCAAATGCTAGTTTTGTGGTTAGCTTCTTTCTGATTGTGAAGTAGCCCCTAGGCGGCAGTGAACTCAGCTTGCCGTTTGTAGTCTGCAGTCACTGAGGCATCTTTAATGCCAGCAATATGCACAGAGATCCTTTGAATTCTGTGCCATGGTCTGAGAGGGGCAGACATCCAACCTATTATTCAAAACTCCAAACAGTTGATGCTACTTGAGCTTGAGACAGACATGATCTCTGATCTACTCCGCTCCCATTCAGGAATAACTGAACTAATTAACAAAAGTGACCATTCAAGGCATACAAAGAATAATGAAGTCATCTAAACGAGGATTAGTACAGCGGGCTAAACAATAACTCCATCAACAAACAGAAATCAGTGAATCAATCAACACAAATCTCATCTCTGTGTGGGTTCTAGGACCCATTTTATCAGGAAAAAAGAACAGACTCGCTGCCTTCATAAGAAGCATGGCGTACAAGGTGACTAATGAGGGGAGTTTCCTTCAAAGTCAGAGTACATCCGTCTGAAAGGTGGGGAAGCAACAGTCTGCATATAAATAAACCATATCTGTAAAACAGATCCGCACACAAAACTCAAGCTATGCAATAAGGACGAAGTCCAGAAATGGATGAACAACCAAAACTGTCCACCATAGTTTACAGCCGGTGAATAATAATAATAAAAAGAAGAAGAAGAAGAATGACCCCTTGTGTTCAGACATTCATTTAAACATACATTTAAGGTAAATCTGTTTTTCACTTCTATAACAACACAGGTAGGTGAAAACGTTTAGCACACACTATATGACTCAAGCACAGGGCTGATACAAACTTAACATACATTACACACACTATAAGACTTTAACACAGACAGTCTATATGTACCATACACTCCAAGACACAGAAGACATAGACACTTAACATGGTACACTCAAAAAGACACACACAATGCACAAGATACAAACCTTTGATGAGAGAGATCTAAAAGGGTACACCACTGAAAAGTTCTGCTGGAATGTCTCTATGCCCAAACTATCAAACTTCTTGTACACCCAGTCCTGAAGAGTTACTCTATAAGACAACAATAACCAGTTACTTCATGATGTGTTTATATACATTAATTATACACACATACACTGGCAGTCAAGATCATATCTATAGAAAAAACTCAACTCAGGTGTGAATTTGAACTCTAAGCTTTCAGGCTGGCAGGCAGGCATCTAGTCTTTTAATACTGACAAATGTAAAGGGCTGCTGAACTCCATGATACCTGTCATCATCATACTGTTTACAGAAGGTTACTCTCATCTTCACAGCCTGACTAGATGACTCTATCTGTTACCAGTTCTCCTGTTTCATAATTAAGGCTCCCCTAATCTTCTGTTTATCCTCATTAACAAAAGTTAGCCTATATAATTTGTCATTAATAATTTAAAAAATCTCCCCTGTAATCTGGTAATCTGGTAATCTGGTAATCCTAGTTTCAGCTTCATAGCAAACGGGTCACCCCACACTTGCTCCGCTCCTGTGCCAACGAAAAACAAACGCAGCTCACAGTGTCACGCCATGCACTCAACTCAGAAGCTGGGCGACGAAACTACATCCTTCCAGTCTACAAATGGAGCAAAAATGCAACGGCCACCGTCTGGAAAAATATTTGCCACGGCTTTAAAAAAAAAAAAAAAAAAAAAAAAAGGTGGCCGTACCTAGCGTCTATTTTGACCGGAAGAATTATATGAGGGTTAATAAACGGTCACCCCAGCAGTACCCTCATTATTAGCTGGGGAAGGGACTTAGGACATTACATCCACCAGCAGGCGTCGCCCCTACAACGACCTGCCTGCCCTCGTTAACGACTGTTCACCCAACAGCCATGCAGTTCTTTGGCACGAAGGAGACACCTTGAACTTGGGTTTCGTACTGCTGACTCCCTACTAAGATGTTATTTTATGTTCTGTTATCACAATTAATGTCACTGCACATTGGGCATACCCATGCGTGCTCAGTTCTCCGAAGCAGCAGCCACTCTAAAGTACTTCTACTAATTGTCCCCATGAGAAGCTGGTTATATTGTCTCCTTTCTCGGCCTCGAAGACGGCAAAGACGTGCATCACCATGCTTAACTCCCATGTCACGCAATCGTGTTAGTGTCAGGGATTCCTCATTCTCCACTAGCCCGGTTCGTACAGCGTTGACTATGTCTGCTCTGTCCATACTTTTTCCTGCAATCATTAGTGCAGTGCTTGCCAGTTGGTCTGCTCGCTCATTTCCCTTCACGCCCGCATGACCCGGTGTGTAGATCCAGGTTACGGAGGTTAAGTGCGATTTCCTGATGCTTTCTATCCATTCAGAGCGCATACTGCCTGTTGCTATCTTCTGAAGCATATTCATTGAGTCTGAGACAATTACTACCTGTGTGGCGGTTTGCTCGGATACCCATGCTAAAGCTCTAGAAGCAGCGGCTATTTCCATTGTCATGCTTGACGTGGTTGTCTGGTAAGCGCCGCTGTCCTCATGTATTGTTTTCCCCTTTCTTTGCGCTGTGTATGCCCATGCTGACCTTGATCCGCGCTTCACAGATCCATCTGTGTAGATGATGGTATCTTCTGGGTCTGAATGCTGATCTATCAGTTCCCTTACTTCTGTGTCTACCGCCGCGGGAATTTGATCCCTGCAGTACCTTCCGAGTGTGATGACAACCTTAGAAATGCCATGCATGTCTACTGGTGTATTCGTATTCGTCCATTCTTTTCCGTGGCTGATCACGTCTAGGTCACATACCTGCTGGATTAAGTCCTCAGCCTTTTGCCATCCAAGAGCGGCCCCTTTTGAGACGCGTTCCTTTTGTGTCGTGAATAGCTTTGTGTAATGGGTGGTTAACATCTGCCGATACCCTCATGTAAGCCTTGACCTGTGCCACTTTGTATCTGCTTGTCATAGTCGGCAGACCCAGGATATAACGCATGGCGTTGCAGGAGGTGTCTTTTGTGCAGCCGAGTATGAGTCTCATGGCCTCATTCTGTACTCGGTCCAGTCTTTCTAGCTAGGTTTTGCTGACAGTGAGGAGGCCGAGACCATAGTCAATGACGCTAAGCACAAGCCCTTGATAGAGAAGGAAAAGTAGACGTTGTTCAATATCAGCTGCTGCTAGCACCTTGAGTGCTGTCAAACCTTTCCTGGCTCTAAGTATGACGTTGTCTACGTGGCATTTGTATGACAAGCATCTGTCAAATGTCATGCCCAGGTATTTCATGGTGTCCGTTCTCTCGATGTCCACACCACAGATGCTTACGACTGGCGTTGGTGTACTCACGATGTGGGTATTCAGAGAGAACCATGTTAAGGAGGCTTTGGACGGGTTCACATGAGCTCTTGATTCCTGGCACCACTCACTAAGTCTGTCTAGTTCGTGTTGTAGTGTGGTTGTAATTTCCTGCCTGTTTTTACCTCGACGGTACACAAGGATATCATCTGCATACGACATTGTTCTGCCTAGGCCTACGCGTTGTGCACTAGTGACTCCTGCTGTGTACACATTGAAGAGCACAGGCGACAATGGTGATCCCTGGGGCAGACCCATTAGGACGCGTTGAGGTTCGGATGCCCATTCACCACATCGAAGCGACACTGTTTCTTTCAAATAGCGCTGCTGCGATCCAGTTGACCAAATTTGTTTCTATCTGCATATCCAACAGCAGTCTGATGAGCATGTTGTATGGGACGCTGTTGTACGCATCTTCTAAGTCAATAGCGGCTGCAGCCGTTTCTATTCCCTCCTGTAAACCTTCGTATGTGTCGTAGGCAAATACAGCAGCATTGCACCATGTATCTCTTCCTGGTCGGTAGCCACCTAGTGTAGCGGGGAAATGGCCACCCGACTCCAATATTTGGGTTAACGTTCTGGCAACGATTTTTTCCATGAGTTTTCCTACAGTGTTCTGGAGTGTGATGATTCTGTAGCCATTTATTCTCGTGTGGTCTTTTCCTGGCTTAGAAACCGGTCTGAGGTAGCTGTGGAGCCAGTCATCAGGAATAGTGCCAGTTTTCATGGTGTTGTTAAAAAATCGTGGACAGTTCATCAATATCTGTCGCCTCGAGGCTTTTGAAGTGGCTGTATCTAATGCCATCAGGCCCTGGAGCTGTGTCCGGACAGGTCTTCAGTGTTGCTCTGATGCAGTCCGTTGAGATGTATACTGTATCATCGACTTCCTCCATTTCAGCCATCTGGATATCATATAAACTCTGTCTTATCTGTTCCCTCTCTTCCCTATCTTTCTTTTCCGTCTGCAGAAGAAATCTGTGCAGGATAGCCTCGCCCTTGTCTTTATCCGATTGTAACACCACCCCGTTGTCCATCTTTAGCTCGGGCATAACAGAGGTTTGTTTGCCTCCGTTCATCTTTTGGTGAAGCCGCCAGAATTTTTTAAGTGATTTTTCATAACCTATTTCCTCGCAAAAATGTTCCCACATTGTGTGCTTAGACTCCTTAGCGAGTTGTTTAAAATGTTCAGTGAGTCTGTATTTTTTGTGTATAATGTCTTGTTTCAGCTCCTCAGTAAAATTCGAAGACTTTCTGCATTTCTCCCAGTCTTTGGTGGCACCTCGTTTCTCTGTCCAGGCTTCTGCGACTTCAGGTGTCCACCACGGGGGCTGTTGAAAGATAGTTTTCTTCTTTCCCCTGTGGGTTTGGGTGCCCCGTTTTAGGAGGATAAAGAACAGACCCACTGACCTCTAAACAAGCATGTCCTAAAATGTAACTATTTAGGGATTTTCTGAAACTGGAACTTTGGGCCAAAAGGTGCAGAAACTGTAACCAAGCTGTAAACCCCAACCCAGTGTGCCAGTGAACTTTTTAAGGATGAATAAAAGAAAAGAGACCAGCATTGTTGACTCAATGTTTCACTGATTATCCCCCTCATTCACAGCTTCCTCTGAACTTGTGTTTATCTAGATTAACTGAAGTTTAACTTTTAATAGTCATTTGTCATTAATAAAAACAGAAATAATTGTAACAATGACAATAATATCAAATCCAGCAACACAATAAACAAGTGACATACATATTATAATGAACACAATTCTGAAAGTACACTAACTTAGGATCTCTCTTGGCCTCTTGCTCGACTTGCTCCTTGTACTGCAGTACAGAAAGAAACACAGACGGCAGATGGGACTCAACTAGGCCTGAAATCAAACAGGAAATCAGCATAAATTAGGCAAACTATCAGCGGGAGGCAAATACCGAAACTCTCAAACATATCAAAATACGAGTAATATTAATGAACTACTCTTTGCTGATGACAGTGACCTTGAAGGCAATTCATCATCACCATTTGCTATATCAATAGGCATAGGCCATCATGTTTTGCCATACCACACGATCACCAGAATCACTGTTCAGGTCTGTGTTATTGTCTCATCCTATCCATGTGCCCAAGCCATGCAGATTTTAATCCCTCTGCCCTCCCCTTTTCCGCCAAACTTGCCAGTCATAACCAAATTCTCAAGTCCATTCCTTGCCATAATATACGTTTAAAAAAAAAAAAACACACAGAATGTCTATGTCTAATTTATATGATCCTTTTACGGTTTTCATCTGTCTCAATCAGAAGGCCCGTTTGTTTTTCTATCCTTCCATGGTATCTTTGCAATCCTCTGAAAACAAATACAACCATGGAACTGCTATTTTACATCCGTGAAAGAAAAAACAAATAGGAGAATCAGCACACACAAAATAGAAGTAATAGCAACAGGAAAAAGCAGAACCTAATTACAGAAGTTGCGAGCAAAAGGTACTAGAAAACATTAGAGTTGAAATGCAAGGTGACAACATGTACCAAACATGGCAAACTGATGTCTTCCAGTGATATCATAGTGTTCTGGATGTTCTCCAGAATATTCAGTAGCACTCAGCAATACTTCTTTCTATCAGTGCCGATCAATACACTTTCTGTTACTTAATTAATTCAATGAGAACTGGATCACTTTTCAATGGAACAGCTGCCAGATGTGTCACTTGATAAGACAAATCAGGAGCATACCACGGATTTTCTATCCAGGAGATTAGTGTGGTGCGGGGTAATGAGCAAACTGATTGACTGACTGCTGCCACTCCTCTGAACTGTGAGCTACTTTTTGACAAAGTGGATGTGGGGGGCGGGGAAGAGGGGTGCTCTATGGGATCAAATGGATACTGCAATAGAAGAGATAGACAATCCATGCAATGAAAGACTAATTCAACGGGAGGCGAGTAAAGATTGTGGAAGGTATTCAACACTGACGGGGAAACAAAAGATGACTTTTAATCAGGCTGCATCTGGTACTAACAGCATGTCGACTATTCATTGGCTACTGAGAAAGGAGATGAAGCATCTGTGAGAATGTCCTGAGTAGGCAATGTTAGATTAATTCATTCAATGGAATTTACAAGGGCAAAAGAAATAGAAGAAGGCCTGAAAATAAACGAAGAAAAGAATAAGAGGGAATGAACAATATGAGAAGGATATGGAATGAGCTGAAGGCGACAGTGAAAGATAAGATCACCTAGCATGAGCTGGTTGACACTCAATGCTTTAAAGATAAATAAAAAGCAGAAAACGAAGAGAAGACATTCTGCAGACAATCTCAAAGCAGAAAACGAAGAGAAGACATTCTGCAGACAATCTCAAAGCAGAAAACGAAGAGAAGACATTCTGCAGACAATCTCAAAGCAGAAAACGAAGAGAAGACATTCTGCAGACAATCTCAAAGCAGAAAACGAAGAGAAGACATTTTGCAGACAATCTCAAAGCAGAAAACGAAGAGAAGACATTCTGCAGACAATCTCAAAGCAGAAAACGAAGAGAAGACATTCTGCAGACAATCTCAAAGCAGAAAACGAAGAGAAGACATTCTGCAGACAATCTCAAAGCAGAAAACGAAGAGAAGATATTCTGCAGACAATCTCAAAGCAGAAAACGAAGAGAAGACATTCTGCAGACAATCTCAAAGCAGAAAACGAAGAGAAGACATTCTGCAGACAATCTCCACTTTTCACACTTTAGCAAGTTAAGACCACCTACTTTAAAAAAAAATATCCTTATAATAATACCAGCAAATATAATATGTGTCATAGCACGTTATCCCAACGGTGTACCAAATCTTACCTGGCAAAAGTGCATTTTCTGAAAAGTAAGTTGCTGCATTCAGAGGCTGATATGCCAGGGCAAAGAACCAGGAAATTCCCGCAAGGTAAACTAGGACAGACAGCTTCTGGTTGTGCTGCACCAACAGAGAAACCACCCGGTTACGGGACTGTTCGTTTGTCAGCAGTCCCATTCTGGATCAAACACTTTACTTAAATCTTTTGATTTGTAACCTGAATGAAAAAGGACATGAAATTGAATATGATGAGAATAGAAACATAATTAGCAAAGCTTTCTTCTTCTTCTGCCTTTTATCTACAAATGGAGCTTGGCCCTCAACCAACACAAGCCAAACAGGCATGCAGAAATCCAGGGAGCTTCAGTGTCTAGATCCTCCCCCAACCCCTCCATCCCCACCCCCCCCCCTCCCCCCCATCTCCCCCTCCCACCCCTCCATCCCCAGTAATTTTTAAGGCTTTCAGTGCCATAATGTTTAGACTGTTTGCAATTTTAATAAGCAATGTTAAGTTTAGTAGTTTGCCACTGGCTACTGAATGGTTGATGCTTTATACCATTGTCAAAATCAACACAATACAGTCTGCTGTCAAGTCGTCCAGAGCTGGAATCCAACTGGGTATCTTGGAATTAAAAACCAGGTTCACAGCATGTAAGCAACAAATGCGAACTATTATTATCGCACATTTAGGCAAAGCATCAGCCCCTGCAGTATTAACCCAGAAAATTCTGAAGTCTGTTCCTATCGTTCACAAGCTGTAGGCTGGGCCGCAGAGTTGTGGTTGTTTATCTACTGCAGGACTGGTCTTGTTTCTGAACCTGACTTTTGTGCACCTTTATTTTAGATCTGGCTTAAACTGTGTGCAGACTGTTGGTTCCTCACCTCTCAGGCTGATGCACTCTCATTTTGAATACATCGCCCCCCCCCCCCTCCCCCATGTGGGGTCTGGGGCCCTATTGTGGGGAAAACAAGAATAGACCCTCTGCCTACCTAAAAGCATGTCGTAAGAGTCGACTAACTGGGGAGCTTTCTTTGAAGTCAGAGTGCATCTGCCTGAGAGGCAAGGGACCAGCAGTCTGCATTCAATTGAATCAGAACTGTAAAACTGATGCAAAAGCAACACTCAGGTTCTGGAGCAGGACTGCAGTCCAGAAGTGGACGAACAACCAGAACTTTATGCCAGAGTTTACAGCTGGTGAACGCAAAGAAGAAGAAGAAGAATACATCGCCTAGTATGATATGCTTGTAATGTTTGGGGGGGGGGGGGGTGGGGGCAGTTGGTCTATTGTTACATACATGTGGTAGTTTGAGGAGAATACAAATGAAATTCAAATTTTTGAAAAAGGTATTAAAAGAAAAATAAATTTTGAAAGTAGTAAAAAATTGTGGCACTCTTCCAATTACCGGTCCCAAATTATTCAGTGAAAAACATCCCTTTGAGAGCCTCAAGAGCTTATGTAGTAAGAACATTTAGGCCAACCTCATCAGTTTCCACTTCTGCTGGTATTGCTCGATGGATAGCAATGTTTAGACATTCAGCTTAGCGCCGAGGGGAGAAATATTTTTTGATCCATTGAAGCGTTGTGGGAGGAGTAGTGGTGGATCCATTAAAGCGGCATGGGGAGGATTAGTGTTTCATCCATTGTTCACATTACCTGTGACTCCCCTTGTGGGTACTAGGGTAACATATATAAGAAAAAATAAAAAACAGATCCACTGCCACCTTAAAAGCATGTTGTAAGAGGTGACTAATCAGTGGCTTTTTAGATTTACAGTGACATTTTTCAGGCAATCACTATTATGTGGCTGTGTCTCATTGTCTGCCATCCTGTCCAATGAAAACAAAGCCAAAACGATAAGTGCGCAGTTTGGTTGCGCAGAGAAAATTTCTTGTTTCACAGACGCAAGTTTTCAAAAGCTGTTTTTTACATCTCATCTCCACAAAAACCTACATATCTCAGCTCAGAAATGACATACAAGCCTAAATGAGGTACCATTGGAAAGAGATTGTTTACAGCTATCTGAAAATTTGACTAAAGTAACTAGTGTATTTACAGTTAAAAAAAATGTTAAATGTTGAATTAAGAATCGACATCACAGCACTCGGGGCACTCCCACAAGTGCTCCGTCCCCATCTTTAGCAGCAAGTGTAAAGTTCCAATTCCGACGGCACCAGTAACTGTCTCATTGTATATCCACCTCATCCATCCCCTGAGTGTTGAGCGTCGGTCAGATCCCCCTGGTAACTCACATAGTAGTGTGCCATTTTCCTCATACCGTTAAGTAATCATAATGTAATGATCTATCTGCGCCTCCACTTGTTCCCAAAGGGACCTCAATCAGAAATAGCAAAAGTAAAGATATGAAATACAAATATCACAGCTATAACCCGGGAGCACTGAACAGGACATAAAACATGATTACATATAACAGTCTGAGTCTATTATACCCCTGCTCTAAACTCTCCTTACATCCAGCAAAAAATCTGGCAGACGGTTATCGGAGTCGTTTCCCTTGTATGACGGTGTTGGTAAAAACATTCACCAGAATAATTTTTATTACAAAGTTCTGGTGGCGTTCCAACTTCAAAGCAAACTAAGAGTCGACTAACTGGGAGCTTCCTTTGAAGTCGGAGTGCAACTGCATGAAAGACAAGGAACCAACAATCTGTACACACATAAGTCAGATCTACAAAACGGATGTGCATGCAACTTACGTCCTTCTTAGGACGTTATTTTTTGTTTTTTGAAGCCCCACTCTGGCTTTTGCCAGGGGCCGCAATATAGGCAGGTCATACATATGGCCAGATGTCTGAACGCGGTTTCTGGGACCTCTCCACGGTGATCCTCATCCGCATGGTGGCACTTTGTGTCATCTGGTGTTTATCGCTTGTGTGATGTCCTGGTGGGGTAGAAAGCCAATCCAATCCAACACTCAGGTTCTGGAACAAGAGGTGGATGAACAAACAGAACGTCCGCTAGGGTTTACAGCCGGTAAACGTGAAGGAGAATAGATGACGAAAACAGCAGGCACGACAAACTAGCATATACACACGCATTACTGCATAAGACATATTGCTAATTATGTGGCTACCAGCTACTGAAAATTTTTCGAATATGCAGTTTACAAATCTGCGGGAGCACAGACACTAATTTTTTTTAAATTTTTTTTTTTTTTTTTTTTTTTGCTACAAAATTTCATTTAGTCGTTAATAGGTAAGTAGACTAATCCCTACAACTTAAAAATAGAAGAAGAAAAAATATGTTCGCAGAGTTCCAACAAATAGAAACGATAGAGGGCAAAGGGCATCAAGAGTCAGGCTATGTTGAAAGATATAAATGTTAAGGCTGATTCACGGTTTAATGACTGAATGCTGAATTAAGTATTGATTTCAGAGCACTCGAGATATTCCCATAAGCGCCCTATCTCCATTTTCATCAGCAAGCAAATAATCAAATTCACATAGCACCAGTAACAGTCTGACTGCATATCCATCTTACCCTCCCTTTGAGTGTTGAGCGTCGGTTAAATCCTCTGGTAACTCTATCCGTAATGATCTATTTGTGCCTCCTCACAACATCTGTCTTGACATGCAGCAGTTCACCACCAAGTAATCTCCCTGCATGTTTGCCAACACACCGGCATAACCTCGAGAAAATATCCAAAAGACGCCAACTATCCAAGATGAAATGATGCTTGCCATTCTGCACGTAGCATGCCTGTATCCACTTTTTTCAATAGGCTCTGGAAATGAAATACAGTTACGACATGTGTGTACATCTGATTATCAAGCCACCCGAAGGTAGCAATGACTGCTTCCACCTCAATTCTCCAACTAAAAATTAGTAGCGTATTCTTTGCAGGACGTTACAGAACAAACACCAGCATTCTTTAGCTGTTGTGGTTTTTCTAGGCAAATTTTAGGTTCAATAGTTTGCCACTGCTATCTTAAACTAGAGGTTATGATATCATAAGTCAGCCTTTGTTGTACTAAGTGACGTCAATTCGTGTTTGCTATGAACTCCCGTGCACTTCGTCTGCCTCTTAATACAAAGCCATCTGTATAGATAATCTCACCACCTGGCTGGGAATTACCATGATTCATTTGTTGAAGTTCTGATTCTGCAGCACCAGCTGGCCACTTCTTGCACCCACGACCTAAAGAGATAACTAAAATATTAATGTCAATTACAATGAGAAGACTAAGGTGCACAATTTAAATAGAAATTGGAGAAAAGCAATATGGTTTTGTTGAAGGTAAAGGCACAAACAAAGCCATATTTACTTTGAGAACACTTTCAGAAATAATCTTTGAAAAGAAATGAATCTGTATTTTTACTTTATTGAAAACATTTAATAAAATGAAATTTTGAGAAATTATTAGAACTTCGGAAACCTTAAACATTGATTGTAAAGATCGGGGAATAATAATAATAATTAAAAAAAAAAAAAAATATACTGGCAATAAGAAACAGCTATCAGAATTCGCAACCAAGTTGGAACTTTTCAAAACATTTAACACGGCGTTGAGACACGAATGTGTACTATCATCCGATTTTTTGAGTTAGTACAGTAAAAAAATAATTAGATCCATACATAGTATGCTAGGATTATTGGTTGGTGGGTCTATTGTTAACCACCTTCTTCTTACTTACGTCCTCTTTTACCGCTGCGGGTGTCGACGGAGATATAAGGTCCTGCTTCGTGATTTTCTCGCTGCTTCGACCAAAGACACTTTGTGGTACTGTAGAGTTTCTCTGATGTTATCCTTCCATGTGGTTCTTGGTCTAACTCTTGCTCTATGTCCCTCTCCTCTTTTGTATATTGAATATTATAGCATCAGAAGCCATTCTCTCCATGTGGGCAAACCATTTGATTTGTTGTCTTTCTATGTAATTTAGAATTGGTTTTGTGCCGACATTATCTCGTATGATCTTATTTCTGGTGTTATCTCTTCTGGTCACTTCTACAGCCATTCTCATACACTTCATTTCCATGGTTACTAATTTTCTTTTATGTTTTTTTGTGTCAGTCCGTTTATATCTCATTGTACTTGTTGTAGAGGCTATTAAATGCATTGCTGGCTTGCTAGGCCTGTCGCAACTTCACAAGAACCCCGTTGGCCAGGACGTTTCGGGGTGACCCAGCATGGCCTTCATTTCTACCGTATCGGCCCTGTGGTACAAGGCCACACCATACCTCGCCCAATCCTAGCAATCCCCTACCCGAGTTATGCTGACGATATGGTTTTGATCGCTGAAAATGAAACACAACAGCAAAAAATGAGGGACATAATTGTAATAGAAAGTCAAAGGTTTTGAAGTTTGAACATCAGAAAAACAGAAGTGATGATAATTACAAAGAAAACTGCCCCCCCCCTCCCCCTACAGAAATGCAACATCAGAATAAAGGTGACAGACCCCAAGCAAGTTGACATGTTTAAGTATTTAGGTACTCTAACCACCAGCCCCAGCACAAGATGACTATTTTATTATGGACAGACCAGAACAAGTCGTTATCTTCCGCCTCAGAACAGGGCACAACCGATTACGTAACCACATGTACACAAAATTCAAGATAGGTGTATCAGCCATGTGCACCTGTGGAAATGTGCCCCAGACCGCAGAGCATGTACTCCAGGACTGCACCGAATTTGACACATTAAGGCAAACCTTTTGGCCAGAAAGAACAACAGTGGAACGTAAACTCTATGGACCACTGAATGAACTAACAACGACAGTGAAATTTATACATGAGACAAAACTGCTGATATAGATAACTTATTTCAGGCGAACGAAAGAAGAAGAAGAAGGTACTCTGAGACGGTATATGTATAAAAGAAATTAAATATAGAATAGCTAAAGAAAAGGCAAAATTTTACAAAATGAAGAATATTTAATGCAACCTTTCTTTGTTAAATGAGACGAGAAAGAGGCTTATTAAAATCTATATAAATACAATCCTGATATGCGGAACCAGTCATGGACGGATGGTAGATTAGTGAACAATTATTTGCAAATTGCGAAGATGGGGTTTTATAGACGACTGATGAAAATATACTGGACAGATAAAAAGAGTAATGAAGAAAGAAACTGACTCACGAAGAGAACTGATTGCCTACTCGGAAAGAGTCAATCTACATTCTTAGGAGATGTCCTGAGAAAGAGAAAACTGGAGTGGGAAGGTTGGAGGGGGAGAGAGGCAGAGGGAGACCGAGAGAAATGATGGTGGACAGTTTGACATCATGAATTGGAAGATAATCTGTTTCAGAGATGACTGAAAGTATACGGGACAGAAGGTTGTGGATAGACGTGACTAACTACACAACTCTGCATGGACTTTAAGAAAAAAGCGTGGGACCTGTGAAGTTTAAATTTGGTGCTCCAATGGAATCAACCATTGACGGGGGTGACTATTTGTGTGCACACCGTGCTGGTGGCGGTGACATGTGAGAGCGAACACCTGGTTCAGATGTCAACAAGAGAACATTCAAACGACGTCTGCTCTATCCACTTCCGACTGGAGGGGGGACCCTGTGTGTGTGGATTTTATTTCTTGAGTCCTGTTTTCCTTTGCTGGCTGTCCTTTGTAGTTTGATCATATCCTAAACCTCACGTTAACGCTTTGATTCAGGAGGAAGTGCATTAAAAGGTATGTTTTACAGATTTACTAATAGGATAATTAGACAAACAACAGTTGAGTTGAACTGAGTCAAGAATTGATTGACATAATCACAGCACTTAGGGTATTTCCGTGTATGCTAAGCATGATGCTCCGTTCTCATCTTCAGCAGACAGCGCAGAGTTCCAATACTGATGGTTCCGGTCACAGTCTGGTTATATGTCCGTCTTGCCTGGGACTTGTGCCATGGTGATTCTCGTGTGAATGGTGGCACTTTGCCTCCATGGGTGTTTATCATCGCTTGTTGTTGTGCAGTCAGTCCTGGTGGGGTTGAACTTCATCGCATACAGACTTCACCACCATCCATGATCACACATTTCTCCGTTACTGATGTTTGGAGATGCAATGATTGAATACACTAAACAGGTTACTGGTTGCTCACAAATACACTAACTGTAACCTGAACACTACTGGTGATGTTACAACCACTCACGGTCTGTACATTAGGCTAGCTGTGATCTGTTGTCACTGATCATAAACTCACTAGCTCTAACAGTAACAGTCACTTGAGGTCAACAAACAAGAGTTGTTCAGTGTTTCACAGTAACTGCAGTAGCTCTTTCTTTCTAGTTTAAACAGGTTGTGAGAGTAAACAAGCATGATTGTCCAGGTTGATCCAGTGGCAGGTGCCTCCACTTTGGGAACAAATCTTGCTCTCATGCGAGAATCTGGCGAGTTATGTGACTTCACCATTGTTGTAACAGGGTCTGAAGTCAAAGCTCACAAGTGAGTGTTGTGCATGTTGCTGTACTCAACAAGTTAATTCTGTGTTCACATCATCAATATTTGCTTATGTTTTGGTTTGAAAATGATGACAATGGTGACTGCGATCATATTGGTAAATAGTATACAAATTCACTGAACAGACAAGCTCCTCTTCTTGTGTTGCTTGTTGATGAAGGCTTCAGTCCATATACTGGCCATGACATTATTACTGCATGTCGTAAATATACTAGCCACAACATTACCACTATGGGGCATAAATATACTAGCCATGTCATTATTACTGCATCTCATAAGTTTACAAAATAATAAACAATTCGGCGCACTTCCGGGCACTATAACGCCACTGCCAATTGCAAACTTCGGGGACTATACCGCCACCATTGAGAGTATCCCAGACATGGCAGATAAAATGAAGGAAGCTGCAGGAGATGCGGTAGCTGCTGCTCTTGAGTCCCAGCCATCTAGTTTAGCCCCAATCCACGCCGCATGAGTGGGATACTCTAGGTGGTGGCGGAAGTCGCCGGCAGTGCGCAATTTAAGACGACGGAAGTGCACAATTGACACGTGATTGAGGCCCTGTTAGGGTATATTTTCGGCCTCAATAATTTGGGACCAATATTTGGAGGATAGCCAATTTTTCTTATATAAGAATTGTTAATAGTCGCATTGTTCCCTGTTTGCAGGTGTGTTCTGGCAGCGACTTGCGAGTACTTCAAGACAAGCTTCGGATTCAGTGACCTGTCGCAGTCCTTGACCAAAGCTGATTTCACCCACGTAGGCTGTGATGTCAGGGCTCTGGAAAAGGTTATTCACAGTTTGTATACAAATGAGATCGATCTGGATCCCGACTGGCTGGAGGGTCTACTGCGACTGGCTGATTACCTCATGCACGACACCTTACGGCATTGCATTGAGACCTACATGGAGAGTACCTTGACCTTTGGCACAGCTATGTTGTATTTCCGGCTGGCACTACAGTTCCGACTGCATTCAGTAAGTATTGTCTGTATGAACTTCGTCAATTGATATCAACCCATATGCTGGCTTATTTCACTATCGTGATAAATAATTATTCTGTTGTTGTCTTTATTTATTTCTCTTTCCATAGTTCTTTTATATTGTAATGTTTCATTATTCTCATACTGTAGCCAGTGTATGTTTCATTGTTCTCATACTGTAGCCAGTGTATGTTTTATTGTTCTCATACTGTAGCCAGTGTATGTTTCATTGTTCTCATACTGTAGCCAGTGTATGTTGTTTCATTGTTCTCATACTGTAGCCAGTGTATGTTGTTTCATTGTTCTCATACTGTAGCCATTTTAAGCGAGACAGGCCAAAGGAGGAATCATGATGGATGGGCAATTCATGGTCTATAAAGTAGTGCCCAGGCCATGTGCTGTGGAGAGGAGGAACTTTATACCCGGCTTTGATTCCAATGCCTGCCTATATAGCACAGTATCACACTATCAAATAAAAAGGTGACAACTAAGTGGGACATCTATTTATAGTTTCAATCCTGCCATGGGAAAACATGTTTTTAAATATACATCTTCCCTGTGTGGGTTTTAGTGCCCCATTTTGGCTCCCCAACAAGTATGTCATAAAAGTCAAATTCCCTGTATGGCTTTTAGTGCCCCATTTTGGCTCCCCAACAAGTATGTCATAAAAGTCAAATTCCCTGTATGGGTTTTAGTGCCCCATTTTGGCTCCCCAACAAGTATGTCATAAAAGTCAAATTCCCTGTATGGGTTTTAGTGCCCCATTTTGGCTCCCCAACAAGTATGTCATAAAAGTCAAATTCCCTGTATGGGTTTTAGTGCCCCATTTTGGCTCCCCAACAAGTATGTCATAAAAGTCAAATTCCCTGTATGGCTTTTAGTGCCCCATTTTGGCTCCCCAACAAGTATGTCATAAAAGTCAAATTCCGTGTGTGGGTTCCGGGCCGTATTATAGGGAAAACAAGAATAGACCCACTGCCTACCCAAAAGCATGTTGTAAGAGTACTAATTGGGAGCTTCCCTCGAAGTTGGAGTGCATCTGCCTAAGAAGCAAGGAACCAGCAGTCTGCATACAAATGAGTCAGGTCTGTAAAACGGATGCACACGCAACACTCAGGTTCTGGAACAGGACTGCAGTTCAGAGGTGGATGGACAGCCAGAACTTTCCGCCAGAGTTTACAGCTGGTGAACACGAAGAAGAAGATAAAAGTCAAATAATTAGGCGTGTTTCCTTTGAAGACAAAGTGTACCTGCCTGAGAGGCGAGGGCCCAGCAATCTAAATACAAATAAGCCACATATATAAAACAGATGTGAGTGCAAACGTTTTGGAACAAGACAGGAGCAGACTGACCATAGCTGCAACCAAAGTTTACAGACTGTGAATGTGAGGATGAAAATGTGAATTTTGTGGCTAATGTTTTCCATTTCTTCTTTGATCCAGTCAGGGTTGATTAACGACACCAAGTGGTTCCTGTCTTTCCGCTTTCACGACTATTTCATTTATCAGCAAGAAGTACTGGAGGCTGACATGGACATGCTCACTGCCTTTATGACGTACAACATCTTTCATCAGTGCAATCCTCTACAGGTGAGATTTTCCTTATCTTCTTCATCCTCATCATTGCAACCCTTTACAGGTGAGATTTTATTTATCTTCTTCATCCTCATCATTGCAACCCTCTATATGTGAGATTTTCTTTATCTTCTTCATCCTCATCATTGCAACCCTTTACAGGTGAGATTTTTAAAATCTTCTTCCTCCTCATCATTGCAACCCTCTACATGTGAGATTTTCTTTATCTTTTTCATCCTCATCATTGCAACCATTCTCCTCATCATTTCCCCATTCTCTAGCTTGATGAGCATGTTTGACATTTGAGGAAAACTTTGTATCTCATTTCTCCATTCTCTAGCTTGATGAGCATGTTTGATATTTGAGGAAAACTTTTAAAACATCAAAATTGTTACACCTTCCCCTCCGCCCGTAAATAGTTCATCTTTACATGTGCAGATAGGATACCATTGTATGATTAATGATTTTAAAATGGTGATGGTACATACCAGATTTGTTATCCATTCGTTCTCAATTCTGCCTCCACTTTCCTACTCAGTAGACACTAGTAAGACCCATTATCCCCCACCTCCTTCAGCTAAATCCAGTAATGACACATTCTTTTCCTTTCCTCATCAGTGGTTCTAGTGTTTATAAAATGTCATGGTCTTGTTTTTTTTCTTACAGATATTAGAGTTTATGTTGAAGAACATTGCAGTAGTGCTTGAGAAACTTCACACTGTTGCCATGGAAACAAACACAGATGTCATCAGAGAAATGGATGCAAGATTAGAAAGCACCTGTACAAATTTGTGTGCGCTATTCAACACAAAACCCCAAGTCCTGGAGAGATGGAAACCCCGTCTGATTGACTTCATGAGGGCATGGAGAAGATCCTGCCTGTCTTGTGTTAGTGCCAATGTTTCAGAATTGTTTTGGTGTGTGCAGACATTAGAGTTCCACCTGTCTGATCATGCTACTGTGATCGACTGTGTGTGCTTGAAGACAGGTACTCATCTTGTGTGCTACGAGAAGCTGCTCAGATCAAACCTCTTCAAGAAGACACTGATACGGGTCGTGGACTTCTTCTTAGTGATTGCCTGCTGCAACCAAGAATGTGATCTGAACGACATGCAGTACATTCCAACACCATATTTTGATGATGTCAAAGACTCGACGTTCAAATGGGGGCTGTGCACAACATGTGCCCCAGAAAAACTGAAAAAATGGTTTGCCTCTCTGTTGGAAGTTAACCCACACAGTAAAGTAGTCCCTATAGAAGCTAAGTTGACTGTTAAAAAAATATCCTTTTTGGATTGGAACAAACTCACAACTATTAAAAGCATCTCTCAAGTAGTAAAAGAGCTTCCTTCTTGCATCAGAGAATCTGATGATGATACAGCAATCAGAGAATCTGATGATGATACAGCACTTAGAGAAGCTGATGATACACCAATCAGAGAATCTGATGATACAGCAGTCAGAGAATCTGATCATACATTAGTCAGAGAAGCTGATGATACAGCAATCAGAGAATCTGATGATACATCAGTCAGAGAAGCTGATGATACAGCAGAATCTGATGATACGATTAGAATGTCTGTTACACTTGAAAGAGTGCCAGCCTCATCGCTGAATGTTCTCAGAGTTGTGATGCCTTCATGTTCTGCAACCTTCCAGAAGAACGAATGCAAAATCTTGGTTGTGTTAGCACCAATGGCAGAAATGGCTACCCAATTGTTGGCAACCGATGAAGGTATGTAGTTGTAGCTTGTATCTTTTGTTGTATATTTGTTTATTCTAGAAATGTTGGCCACTTAACTAATGATACTTAATACATGTCAAAGTATAAACCTTTATATATATATATATATATATATATATATATATATATATATATATATATATATATATATATATATATATATATATATATATATATGATCCAGTTGTTGTATATATATTGTGTAATCCTATGTCTGTTGCTTTCAAAGCCTCCCCCCTCCCATTTTTATTTATTAGTTGTAATATAAATTTGTAGGGGAATTAGGTAAAGAGAATAATTTACTTGTGTCCGTAAAACCATATTAAAAATGAATAATGTCACTGCTTTCCTTAATTAAAGTTTTCTCTGAAATTAATTTAGGCATCTTCTTGTGAGCGGGGCAAAATCTTCATTTGTTTTGTATATTTTCTGTTTGTTGTTTTTTGTGGTTGGTTTATTTTCTGTGTTGTTTTTTCTGGTTGGTATATTTTCTGTGTTGTTGTTTTTTCTGGTGGTTATATTTTTTGTGTTGTTGTTCTTCTGGTTGGTATATTTTCCGTGTTGTTGTTTTTCTGGTTGGTATATTTTCTGTGTTGTTTTTCTGGTTGGTATACTTTTTTTTTTTCTTTTCTGGTTGGTATATTTTCTGTGTTGTTGTTTTTCTGGTTGGTATATTTTCTGTGTTTTTCTGGTTGGTATATTTTCTGTGTTGTATTTCTGGTTGGTATATTTTCTGTGTTGGTGTTTTTCTGGTTGGTATTTTTTCTAGGATGCACTTCTACAGATGTATATATTTGTTCAGTGACTGTTTAATTATACAACACAGAAGCAATAAAGAAATAATAATCTCTGTCTGCTTCAGAGACTGACAGGCGGCTGGTGCGCTCTCCCAAACTGGAGCTGTCTTTCTATGATATTGAAATGGGCACTTGGTGCCGTGGCCCTCAGCTGGATTTGCCCATCCCCGGCGTCATGCTGGAAAAACATGCATGGAGGATTGCCTTTTTGGACAGTTGCCTTTACATGTTCAGGTAAGAGAAACATACGCATGTAACTTAAGCATCTTCTTTTTATTCTTAGCGTTCACTGTCTGTAAACTTCAGGCAGAAAGTTCCCATTCTTCCCTCCCTCTGAACTTTAGTCTTGTTCTAAAACTTGAAATTTGCCTGCACTTTAATTTGGTACATGTGGCTTATTTGTATGGCTAATGAAGACACAGTTTTAGGGGTGCTAGGTTGGTCATGCATCTTAGTACACTTGTATCTTCAGCAAGGCACTGTTGTCATTTTAAAGTGACAGGTTCCATTCCCAGTGTGGTAAATATAGCTTTTGATTTTGTATGTTGTTTAGGGTGTCCTTCTATCTTTCTGCTTCTTTTTTTTTGGTACCTTTCTGTGCACGTCTTTTATTTGTATGCAGCCTGTAGGTTCTTGGTCTCTCAGGCAGGCCTCTGAGGAATCATCCCTACTAAGTTGTCTTTTTCAAATATGCCTTTGTGAGCAGTTTTGTCTTCTTGACATGTAGTTAAGTACGCAGATGGAGAGATTTAAGGTTGAGTGGTAATAGCCGTGAAAACAAAGAGCCATCTATATGTTAACTCTTGACATGTGGTTAAGTCCCCAGATGGAGAGATTTAAGGTTGAGTGGAAATAGCAGTGAAAACAGAGAGCCATCTATATGTTAACTCTTGACATGTGGTTAAGTCCCCAGATGGAGAGATTTAAGGTTGAGTGGTAATAGCAGTGAAAACAGAGAGCCATCTATATGTTAACTCTTGACATGTGGTTAAGTCCCCAGATGGAGAGATTTAAGGTTGAGTGGTAATAGCAGTGAAAACAGAGAGCCATCTGCATGTTAACTCTTGACAGGTTAACTCTTTGAATTCCTTGTGAGGGTGACTTGAATCATGACTAACAGTGAAATGCCTCAAACATGTGGATAACAAACACATTACCAGCCTTGATGGAAATCAGGCACGGCCATATGTTTTGTGCTAATTCATGACCTGGTTGTTTCTCAATTTGTTGATCTGCAAATGTGAAGCTTCAGTAGAGGTACACGCTCTCTTAGCTTTTTCTGAGCTTGGAGAGGGGATGGAGACTTCTGCATATTCTTTTTGGAGATGATACTTTTGTATCAGGCCAAGAGACAGATTGCTCTGATGAATGTAAGCCTTTCACGGCTCAGTTGAAGCAAATAACAGGGCATGCCAAGGATTCTCAAAACAAGACAAATGTTTAAATGGCCTGTACAAATATGTTGACATCATGTTTCTGGGGCACACAAGAGGGGGTGTTTTAAATAAGACTGTGCTGCCAATTGTAGCAGCAAAGAAATATCTTGATTTCATGTAAGGGTACGTGAAAAAGAATAATTGTATATGAGTATCCTTGTGTTTTGTCTTACCAGAATGTAAATATAGGAAGTTATTGTTCTCATTATTATATATGTTCAGTCAATACTAAGTGATTAGTATATGCCAGGATTATTCTACTGGGGGGCCAAATCTGGGCTGTAGAAGCCTCACAGGACGCCTGCAGATCATTGGCCGGTTGTATCGTATTAATCTTTCTATGCTGGTCCGGGACAATCTCCATTTTCGGCCCCAGGATAAACTTCGTTGAATAGCCCTGCTGTATGCTATTTAAGGAACAAGTTAGAGCAGCAGGTTCCCGTACATCTCAAGTTGATGTTGGTCAAATGTTTCAGCCCTTTGCCTTCCTCGCACAGTCTGAGGATGGACCTAGCCATGTGTTAGACCAGGTCCTTTACAGAACACCACACTTATCACAGCATGCCGGACAGAAACTCAGTCTCCTCAAATCTCTTGTCTCACGCATTTCCTACCCAAGTGGTCAATTATATTTTGTGCCGGTCCACCCTCTCCATATTTCCTGCTGCCGTGTTCTCCATTTCAGTTCTTTCCAGGCCACCATGGTACTTGATATATGACCCTAATATTTTAGTTTCTGAGAGATGATGTTTGCGAGCCAGTCGTCCTTGATATTTGCATCCTTTTATGTCAGTATTTGTTTTCATCTTGGTCTGTGATATTCTGAGAATCTTTCTACAGCATTTCAGCTTTGAAGCCCGTTTTCTTTCTCAGAGACTGTAAGATAGCCCACCATTCACATCCGATTTTGCTGCAGGGAAGATGCCTGCTGTCATTTTGATTTTCCTTGCTGGTGCTTAACCATGCACCTTTAATGTTGTTTAATCTTTGTATTACCATGGCCATCCTCATTTTAACTTCCACTGGTCTCTATTATGTGTGGTTTAAAAAAAAAATGGAACCTGGATATTCAAAATGTCTGACATTTTCAGACTGTTCGTCATTTATTGTTGTTTTTTTTCTTTAGATGCAGAAACAAGTTTAAATCTTCACTTTGTGTTTTGGACAGACTGGCTTAGATAATATTGTAGACTATGTTAGTGTATGTTTTGAGATGCATTATATTTTATGTGTGGCCATTATATGTTAGGTAATGTATTATATTAGGTATATATTAGGTATGTCATATGTTTAGTACACATTAAGCATAACTTTGTATTACAATTGAGCACATTTTGATTTCCACAGCCTGGGGCATGCTGTTGGCCTCCAGTACAACACTTTAACAAACACTTGGTTTCGTCTAGAGTGTCACGACATCTTTTCTTCCCACACCAATGCTGCCCCTGTGAGAAGTGTTATTCCAATAAAGGTCGGAAGGAAGTTGATTGTTCTCTCCATGGGCCGTGAGTCCCAGCCTGATGGGACATTCTTGACACAACAGCATTATTTTGAGATGCAGGACGATTGTAGGACATTTAATAAGGTAGCCTCAGTAGAAGGTGACCAACTGGACTTGCCTGTGACTCAGTGGACAGTCTGTGACAGCACTCTAGTCACGATTAAGTCCAGCACTATGGTGCACAGGTCCCTGTCTCACATTCAGTACATCCATTTTTATAATGCAGAAACGAGAAAAGTACGCACACATGAAGCTGTTTGTACCATGGAGGCAGGAGTGAAGGTTGTGGCTAGGGACCAGATTATTTATCTGCTCAACAACGATGGCTGGTGCCGAAAGTATGATGTCCAAAGGGCAGCCTGGGCTGAAATGCAGAGATATCCATCAATGGCTAAGTCGACCACCTGGAAACATGGTAATGAAGCAACATACCCTGCACTGACACATGTGGCTTGCCATGACGGCTGCTCACGGTGGGAGGTGTTATCTGGCCAAGATAGTATCCATTCTGGCATGCTAGAGATGGTGATCACCAGCGATGCAGAGCTTGAGGTAGTGCACCACCCCTCGCCCCCATTTCAGTTTATGACTGCATTATCTCCGAGCTCAATGTCAAGGACACAGCTGAATGCCATGGAGCAACCACTTTTTGCCCAGGTTGACAACCTGTGGTTAGATTTTTCTTTTTATAAGAAGTTCGAAATATGAAATGTGGCTCTTCCAATGCAGTGTATGAGCACTAGTTTTGGGTACACTTCTTTTTTTCAGTGGCATGACTGACTGACCAGGCAGCTATGTAGTAATAGTAAATGACAACATGAGTTGGTTGAGGCTGTATGGGGGTGGGAGGGGGGTAAAGGAAGAGGAGAGAAAAGCGATAATGTCAAATGGACCTTTTGAACAAAGGAGTCTTGATTGTAAACTTGCTTTTTTCTCAGCACAGGGTCAGCGAGTTCATAGATCAAGGGAAATAATTCAAGTAGTGAAGAGTTGTTACTCCTTGAGCATATTTTTATGTCACAGTACACTTGCCATTTGCTTTATGATCTTATAATACAGATTTGTACAAACTAATGATCTGTTTAGTCTAACCCTCAGTCTTTCAGGTGAAGTTCTTTTATTATTATTCTTATGCAATTGCAGGTTTTAAGTTCTGATGTTATATAACTTGCTGTGTCTCATTCTGTAGCAAACATGGAACAGTCTTTTTTGTGGTGATTTTGGTCACAGGCATGAGGGAGAGTTTACGTCGCTATTCTGTATATATGGGGATACTTGGTTTCTTGCCTCAAGGACCAGCAGGCTTTGTGCTGGTTTTACAGATCTTCCTGCATGACTCGTGACACACGTCCATGTCGTGCATCACAGATAATGGCAAATACCAGTCTCAACTTAGCTGGCAAGTATCTGTGCGAAAATAAATGCTCGCAGAAGTTGGATGTTTCAGCCAGAAGGTGAAAATGTCACAGCTATGCTGTAAACAGGCACAATTAATTTATTATGTCTCTCAGACAAGCGATGCAGAAGAAGAATCTCAACCAGAACTATGATTCTCCTGGCTAAAAGTTTATTTTGGTTTTTAAACTTACTCATTTTAGATGTTCCCCCATGTTGTTTTAACGTTCTTTCTTCTCATGGACGAGGGTATTTTGTATAGTATATTGGATGAAGCAGAACTGACCTTCAGGACAAGCTCATAGGCAGTAAGTCTCCTCGCAGGGAAGATTCAAGGGTATGAATGCTGGCAGTAAGTCTCCTCGCAGGGAAGATTCAATGGTATGAATGCTGGCAGTAAGTCTCCTCGCAGGGAAGATTCAAGGGTATGAATGCTGGCAGTAAGTCTCCTCCCAGGGAAGATTCAAGGGTATGAATGCTGGCAGTAAGTCTCCTCCCAGGGAAGATTCAAGGGTATGAATGCTGGCAGTAAGTCTCCTCCCAGGGAAGATTCAAGGGTATGAATGCTGGCAGTAAGTCTCCTCCCAGGGAAGATTCAAGGGTATGAATGCTGGCAGTAAGTCTCCTCCCAGGGAAGATTCAAGGGTATGAATGGAAGATTCAAGGGTATGAATGCTGGCAGTAAGTCTTCTCCCAGGGAAGATTCAAGGGTATGAATGCTGGCAGTAAGTCTTCTCCCAGGGAAGATACAAGGGTATGAATGCTGGCAGTAAGTCTCCTCCCAGGGAAGATTCAAGGGTATGAATGCTGGCAGTAAGTCTTCTCCCAGGGAAGATTCAAGGGTATGAATGCTGGCAGTAAGTCTTCTCCCAGGGAAGATACAAGGGTATGAATTCTGGCAGTCCTTGCGCTGGCTAGTCATCCACATGTCAGAAGTGTGCTAACTGGTCAAGTCCATATATCAATTGTGGCCAACCATTTGGGTTTGCGGGCCACTTGTCATTTTATAAATCACTGATGATGAACCAGAGATAACTAACACAGAAAACGTTTAAAAAGGAAAGGGAAAATATTTCTAATAAATAGATTTTACACTTTTTGGTGGACCAGTCCACTAGATGTCAGTTGTAGAGAGACTTGGCTGCTCACTAGGCAGTCATGTCAGACAGTATGATACAGACCCCAGCGCTCCATATCATGTGTTGCCGTTTCACTAGTAGATTCTGGTTAACTACCCCTGCTCTACAAGTTTGCCCTACCCCAGAAGACAGACTTGAGAAGTTTTGTTCAGAAATGTTCCTCCATGCTCTGTCCCCAGTATAACTTCCCCGTCCATCTTCAGTATTACAAAGATAAAAGCTTATGAATCTAGAATATCTGCTGTCTATGTTCCCTTCACCCACAATTGATCTAGACACTAGAACACATACTAATGTTTGATGCCTTTACAAGTGACAGCCACTGATGCTGTATATAGCTTGACAAGTGACAGCCATTGATGCTGTATATAGCTTGACAAGTGACAGCTACTGATGCTGTATATGGCTTGACAAGTGACAGCCACTGATGCTGTATACAGCTTGACAAGTGACAGCCACTGATGCTGTATATAGCTTGACAAGTGACAGCCATTGATGCTGTATACAGCTTGACAAGTGACAGCCACTGATGCTGTATACAGCTTGACAAGTGACAGCCACTGATGCTGTATATAGCTTCACAAGTGACAGCCATTGATGCTGTATATAGCTTGACAAGTGACAGCCACTGATGCTGTATATGGCTTGACAAGTGACAGCCACTGATGCTGTATACAGCTTCACAAGTGACAGCCATTGATGCTGTATATAGCTTGACAAGTGACAGCCACTGATGCTGTATAAAGCTTCACAAGTGACAGCCACTGATGCTGTATACAGCTTGACAAGTGACAGCCACTGATGCTGTATACAGCTTGACAAGTGACAGCCACTGATGCTGTATACAGCTTGACAAGTGACAGCCACTGATGCTGTATACAGCTTGACAAGTGACAGCCACTGATGCTGTATACAGCTTGACAAGTGACAGCCACTGATGCTGTATACAGCTTGACAAGTGACAGCCATTTATGCTGTATATAGCTTGACAAGTGACAGCCACTGATGCTGTATACAGCTTGACAAGTGACAGCCACTGATGCTGTATATAGCTTGACAAGTGACAGCCATTGATGCTGTATATAGCTTTACAAGTGACAGCTACTGATGCTGTATATGGCTTGACAAGTGACAGCCACTGATGCTGTATACAGCTTGACAAGTGACAGCCACTGATGCTGTATATAGCTTCAAAAGTGACAGCCACTGATGCTGTATATAGCTTGACAAGTGACAGCCACTGATGCTGTATATAGCTTCACAAGTGACAGCCACTGATGCTGTATACAGCTTGACAAGTGACAGCCACTGATGCTGTATATAGCTTCACAAGTGACAGCCACTGATGCTGTATACAGCTTGACAAGTGACAGCCACTGATGCTGTATATAGCTTCACAAGTGACAGCCACTGATGCTGTATACAGCTTGACAAGTGACAGCCACTGATGCTGTATATAGCTTCACAAGTGACAGCCACTGATGCTGTATATAGCTTGACAAGTGACAGCCACTGATGCTGTATATAGCTTCACAAGTGACAGCCACTGATGCTGTATATAGCTTGACAAGTGACAGCCACTGATGCTGTATACAGCTTGACAAGTGACAGCCACTGATGCTGTATATAGCTTCACAAGTGACAGCCACTGATGCTGTATACAGCTTGACAAGTGACAGCCACTGATGCTGTATACAGCTTGACAAGTGACAGCCACTGATGCTGTATAAAGCTTGACAAGTGACAGTCACTGATGCTGTATATAGCTTCACAAGTGACAGCCACTGATGCTGTATATAGCTTCACAAGTGACAGCCACTGATGCTGTATACAGCTTGGTACTCTGAACTTCTCAAGTGTGCATTGAGAGATCACTAGTGTTGTCAGAGATATATTGTATTATTATGGTGATAACTTAGCAGTTTATCAAGGAGGTGGGTCCCTTTGTGTAAGTGGCTTAGATGATGGCAGTTCATCAGGGTGAGGGGGGAGCGTGTATGAGTGGTTTTAGCTGATGGCAGTTCATCCGTGGGGGAGGGAGCGTGTATGAGTGGTTTTAGCTGATGGCAGTCCATCAGTGTTGGATAGGTGTTGAGCCATTTGCCTTGTGCCCTGAAGGTTGTAGGTTCATTTCACCAACTGCACTGCTTGATTCACAAGTGCAGTTTTCATAGAGATCCCTGGGGATTCCTTACTGGGGCCTCAGAGCTTGTACTTGGTGCAACCTCATGAAAAGATATAGAAGCAAATGAAAACTAGTCAGCTACACATTATCACAGTCGCAAATGCCAAATGAACGGTGTGGCTAGAAAGCTTTCATCAGCACATGACATAGATAGACAGTGTAACAGTTACAAACAAGAATACACAGTCCCCTAATAGGTTATCTCTGAAAGAAATACTCATGTGCATTGTGCAACACTCGGCTGAGGGGTTCATGTACTTTATGCAACACTCAGCTGATGGGTTCATGTACTTTGTGCAACACTCAGCTGATGGGTTCATGTACTTTGTGCAACACTCAGCTGATGGGTTCATGTACTTTGTACAACACTCGGCTGAGTGGTTCATGTACTTTGTGCAACACTCGGCTGAGGGGTTCATGTACATTGTGCAACACTCAGCTGATGGGTTCATGTACTTTGTGCAACACTCAGATTATCGGTTAATGCACTTTGTGCAACATTCGGGTAATGGGTTCATGTACTTTGTGCAACATTCAGGTAATGGGTTGATGTACTTTGTGCAACACTTGGCTGATGGGTTCATGTACTTTGTGCAACACTCAGCTGATGGGTTCATGTACTTTGTGCAACATTCGGCTGATGGGTTCATGTACTTTGTGCAACATTCGGCTGATGGGTTCATGTACTTTGTGCAACACTCGGCTTATCGGTTAATGTACTTTGTGCAACATTCAGGTAATAGGTTGATGTACTTTGTGCAACACTTGGCTGATGGTTTCATGTATTTTGTGCAACACTCAGCTGATGGGTTCATGTACTTTGTGCAACATTCGGCTGATGGGTTCATGTACTTTGTGCAACATTGGGCTGATGGGTTTGTTCAGAGAGGCTGCACTGCAGAGGGGGTAACCTGATGCAAGCAAGTCCATCCTTTTTAACTTTATATAGACTTTTCAGAATCAGGGAGTTTAGGTTTTTATTTTTCCAG